TGGAAGTTCTCAAAGCAGAACCCCCTCAAGCTAGATGGAAGCTTCTATGTTCCTAGTTGTTGTGTTTGCATGACTCACAGACAGGTTAGGCTAATGAACTGAATTTTTCCTCAATTCTAGCCCTCTTCCCCATGTGTTAGCCTAAAACTTTTAGTACAGGCTAGAGCTTGTCTTCTCTAGGAGCTGGTATCAGAGAGTGCCCGATTTGCCAGCATCCCATTTAGTTAGTTGTTGGAAAGTGAGTATCTGATGCTTCCTGGCTCCCAAGGGCCATGCCCCCGGGACTGGTCTGATCTGGAGGCCACAGATAAGCCCATCTGGAATACACTGTGATCAGTCCGGATGCCAGATGGAGGAGCAAAATTTCCTTTTGCCCTGCTACCAACTAGGTGTGTGGCTTTGGGCAACTTGCTTCTCCTCTCTAGGACTTATTTCTAATCTGCAGATGAGGGTCCTGGACTAATAATACCTGCTGTTATCATGGCCACAATTTATTAAGCACCTATTAATGCTAGGCACTTTATAGGTATCATCGCATTTAGTTCTCACGTCCACCCTGTGATAAGTCCTATCTATCCCCATTTTACAGATGAGGGAACTGAGGCTCAGAAAGAGTAACACTGCCAGTGAGTGGCGAGGAAGCCCTTTGCTGCCTGGCAACACCGGGTTAGGGCTGAGGGTGGGCCTTGGGCAACTCTGAGAATTGTTTCCCGCAGGCACAGAGGACGTGCGTATCGACGAGAGGACTGTCAGCCCCTTCCTGCAACTGTCAGACGATCGAAGGACGCTGACCTTCAATGCCAAGAAGTCCAAGGCCTGTGTGGATGGCCCGGAGCGCTTTGACCACTGGCCCAATGCCCTGGCCACCATCTCCTTCCAGGCCGGGCTGCACACCTGGGTGGTGAGCGTCCAGAACAGCTGTGCCTATAAGATAGGCGTGGCCTCAGGCCAGCTGCCCCGCAAGGGCTCTGGCAGTGACTCCCGTCTGGGCCACAACGCCTTCTCCTGGGTCTTCTCCCGCTACGACCAGGAGTTCCGGTTCTCACACGCTGGGCAGCACGAGCCCCTGGCGCTGCTGCGGTGCCCCGCCCAGCTGGGCGTGCTCCTGGACTGGCAGGCACAGCAACTGCTATTCTTCGAGCCGGCCTCGGGCACAGTGCTCCACAGCCACCACGCGCCCTTTTCTGGGCCCCTCTTCCCGGTCTTTGCTGTGGCCGACCAGACCATTTCCATCATCCGCTGACCTCTGACCACGGGGAGCCCAGGTCTCCCCCCTACTATGCCTCCAGGCCATGTTCCTGCCCAGTGTCCTTTTCCCAAATGTTGCCCTCAAGGAACAGCATTAGGAGGGATAGGGATCCAATGCAGATATGGGTACAGCCGTTAAATGCCGGGTATTTGCGGGGAGCCTGTGGCTCCCTGGGCCTTAGTCTCCCAAATCCACCATGCATCAGCCCTACTGAGGGTGTCTTGTTCACCACTTTATCTCTGGCATCAGGCATGGTGCCTGGTGCCTAGTGATTGTGCAATAAATATTTGGCGAATGTATGGACGGATGGAAAGGTGCCTGGGTATGTGTGGTAGACTCTTCTGGAAGAGCACAGCTTTCCAGTCCTCTGCCCCCAGCTTGGAGCATGTCCTGTGGCTGAAACTCCTCCATCCCTCAGTTTGGTGCTTCTCAGTCCTTTACCTGACATGGCACATGTCAGAGAAAATCTTTTTCTGGCACACAAGGACAACCTGAAAGGGATCCCAAACTCCTGCTAGGCTGCTCCTGGACAGAGGGGGCGCTGTGTCATCCCACCAGGTCCAGCCTGGCGGCTCAGAAGACTGAGGGGATCCTCCCTGCAGGTAACAGGACCGAGCACACCCGCTGGCAGCTCTGCCTCGGACTTGGCCACCCAGCTCAGCTGTGCCCACCTGTGGTAATCCGGATGAATCTCCCCCGCACCTGCAGCTAATGAGGGTTCCCACCTAACGCCCCCCTCCCCACCCAACACAATGTGGAGGCCTGGGGTGAGGGCTTCAAGCCCGAGAGAGAGTTGAGGGAGTATGAGGGCCAGCCTTACGGAACATGTATGTTATTAAAGGTTTTACAAGATTCAAAAGTTTCTTCCATGTTCTTTGTCAGTAACGGGGCAGATCTCCTTGCCAGTTCACATCTTAAGAGGTGCACTTGCTGGGATATCAAGGTCTTCCTCACCTACATCTGTGTTCCCAGCTCAGCATACGTGGCCACAGGAGCCCTGAGACAGTTCTGTGCCCTGTGTGGCTGGAACTGAGGGCAAGTCCCTTCCTGTTCTCTGAGGTCACATTAGTACAGTGGTCCTCACATTTCTCTTTTATCTGGGAACAGTTCAAAGGCAATCTTACCAACAACTTCAGGCCCCTGGGCTCAAAGATGGGGGCCAGAGTCCTGCCCACTCTTAAGTTTGTTCAATAATTTACTTGAAACATTGGGTGGATCAAATCCACAGGGGCGCCTGGGTGGCTCAGTTGGTTAAGAGTCCGACTTCGGCGGAGGTCATGATCTCATGTTCATGGGTTCAAGCCCCGCGTTGGGCTCTGTGCTGACAGCCAGCTCAGAGCCTGGAGCCTGCTTCAGATTCTGTGTCTTCCTCTCTCTCTCAGAAATAAATAAAATATTTAAAAAATGTTTTAAAAAATCCAGTCCACAGATGTAATGGCAGGTCGTTTGGTTGAGATGACTTCCAAGGCCCTTGCAGCTCTGAGACCGCAGCTCACGACCCATATCCTCACTGCCTGACAAGTGGGAAGTACTGTCCCCTGGACTTGACACCAAGCCCAAGGAAGACAGCCCCAAAAGAGCTGTGGCCCCGCTCCTATGAGCACAGTTTCTGCCCAGAAACCTGGGGCAAAGCCAGCCTTTTCTACTTAGCACCTGCGGGCCCCCACACTGCCAACCTAACTCCCCGCGGCAGCCCTCACTGCCCACAGTTCATGGGCCTCCTGCCAGGAATGCGTATTGTATTCCTCTGGCCACCTAAATGCCACCCCCAGTTCAGGGCCACTCCAGAGCCCTCTGTGGCCGTTGGTACCAGAACACGTAGGTGTGCCTGCCTATGTGCTTCTCACCAGAGGATCCCCTGTGCCTGGCACGAGGCAAGGAAGACGTCTCTGGTAAATCCCAAAGAGGAGTGAGGGGAAAGGAGCTTGGAGAGGGGACAGGAAGTTAGAGACATGGGGTTTTTAAACTTTTTTTTTTTACTCTATTTTTGAGACAGTGCAAGTGAGCGAGGTGCAGAGAGGGAGACTGTGGAGCCCAGAGCAGGGCTTGAGCTCACAGATGTGGGGCTCGAACTCCTGAGCCATGAGATCACGGCCTGAGCCAAAGTCAGATGCTTAACTGACTGAGCCACCCAGGCACCTGGAGACATGGAATTAAAAAAAAAAAGAAATTTTTATGCCTACTTATTTTTGAGAGAGAGACAGACTGTGAGTGGGGACGGGGTAGAGAGGTAGACACGCTCCGAGCTCTGAGCTGTCAGTTGCAGAGCCCGAAGCAGGGCTTGAATTCACAAACTGTGAGATGGAGTCGGATGCTTAACCGACTGAGCCACCCAGGCGCCCCCAAGACACGGAATCTTTAACACCTACCTAGCTTCCTTCCTTCAGCATCCAACGACCACCCCCCCCCCCCCCCCCCCCCCCCCCCCCCCCCCCCCCCCCCCCCCCCCCCCCCCCCCCCCCCCCCCCCCCCCCCCCCCCACCCTGCCATGTTTCCTACACTCCTCTGCCTCAAACTCCAGGCCCTGCTCTCTGTGCTATCCTACCCCCATGCCAACACCTGTGACTGCGGTGCTCTTCAAACTTGACCTCCTTTAGAGAATCTTCCCTATTCTACCAGGATCTCCACTGTACTGTGTGGACATAGTACACACATCCTACAGGACACAGCTCTCTCCTTGCAAGTTGGTGGTCAAGCCAAGGGCTTTGGAGTCGGGCATGCCTAAATCGGAACCCTGGCTCGCTCACATGCTAGTCGTGACCTCAGGCAGGCTACTGCTAAATCTGTTTCTCGTTTGTAAAGTGGAGGTCACACTACCTCTGCCCATTAGGTAGCTCTGAACGTGTGTTTTATTTATTGAGGGTTATATATGCATATATAGGACTATCACGTGGCAAACACATGAAGTTTCTTCTCATGACTGTAATTAGGGTGCTCCCTGTCCAAGATGGTGCTTACACTATATAGCCCTAGAGGGCATGTTCCTACAGCACAGCTTAGCAGCCCAATTTCCAAACTAAGCTCTGCTGGCCTCCCGCTTCCTAGGGCTTTGAGGGCCCAACTGAAGGGCTCTAGGATCTGCTTCAACTCTAGCAGTTTCTCCCTTTTCCTGTTTTGCAGATTGGGGTTCCAGTAAGATCTCCCATAACAAAAGGGCCTTGCTGCTAATACAAAGTTTGACAGTGCCTGTTTTTCTTTTTGTTTGTTTTTTAAAATAATTTTTTCTAGGGGGCGCCTGGGTGGCTCAGTCTGTTAAGCTTCCGACTTCGGCTCAGGTCATGATCTTACGGTTCGTGGATTCAAGCCCCGCATCGGGCTCTGTGCTGGCAGCTAGCTCAGAGCCTGCAGCCTGGCAGCCTGCTTCAGATTCTGTATCTCCCTCTCTCTCTGACCCTCCCCTGCTCACACTGTCTCTCTCTCTCAGAAATAAATAAAACATTAAGAAAAATTTAAAAAATATAAAAAAATTTTTTTCTAAAGTTTATTTTACTTATTTTCAGAGAGCACAAGCATAGAAGGGGCAGAGAAATCCCAAAGCAGGCTCCGCAGTGACAGTGCAGAGCCCAATGTGGGGATCTAACTCACCCACCATGAGATCATGACTTAGCCCAAATCAAGAGTTGGTCCTTCACCAAATGAGGCCCCAGGCGCCCCGACAGTGCCTGGTTTTGAAGCTAGCTGGGCTCTCAGTGAATCTGGTAGGTGATGCAGGTAGGAAAGAGACACAGATGTGAACCTCAGCGACCAGAGGCAGTGTTCACTGCTTTATGGTCACAACACATTTGGACACTGCAGGGAGAGGGGCAAAGGCCAGATCTCAGGAAAGAAGGGGCTCTCTGTCTGCGGCGTTCGCTGGGCCCAGCCACTTCCCTAATCAGATTCAAAGTTCCGGGGGAGAGAGTTCCAGGTGGTCAAGGGCAGGCAGGAGATGGGACAGTGAGGGGAGCAGGAATTCCTGGGATACAGAATCTTTGACTGCAGCGTCCAAAGGCTCTGGGCCAACCACCAGGAAGCTGTGCATACCTACAGCCCGCGCCCCCTTAAAATCACAGGGATAACTGTCCCCAATATGGGCTGCTACTGCTGGCTCCACCTGAGCAAGCCGCAAAGCCTCCTGGAAAATTCGGGGGTCAGGCTTGGGCCAGCCGGCAGCCTCAGAGGTCAGCACAAAGTCAAAGTGTTCCCTCAGGCCAAGACCCATCAGGATGTCCTCCAGTCGCCGGTCGAAGTTAGAGATCACCGCCAGCCTCAGACCTCGTTTTCGACACCCCCTCAGTGTGGCTTCAGCCCCCTCTAACACCTGCCAGCTGCAGGGCTTGCTGAAGTCCTCGTACAGCTGGTCAGCGATGGGGGCCACAGCCCGGGCATCTCGGACACCTGCTAGGTAGAAGGTCTGTAAGACCACGTCCAGCCACCACCGGCGGGAGGTGAGGCCGTGGCTCAGCCCATAGTTGGGGAAGCTGAGGCTCTGAGCCCTGTACGCCTGCCTGAAGGCTTGTACCAGGGAAGCGGGCTCCACCTCCAGCCCATGGGCCCGGGCCTTGGTGGCATATTCCTCTCCCACGGGGTGGCGTAGCCTGAGTAGCGTGTCCTTCACATCCCACGTCAGCAGTCGTATCTGTAGCCGATGCGCCATGGGTCTGCAGGAAGGGGCAAGCCCACCCCAGGTCTGCCAGGAGCTAAAGGGAAACTGAGCCCACCAAGACCCCTTCCACAACCTAAAGGTCTCCTCCTTCCAGGCCTCGTGGGTCAGAGTTGCTGGCACTTCCTCGTAGCAGAAGATCCTGGAATGAGACGGCAGTGACGTGGAAGTTCAGGCCTTGTAGTCAGAGACAGACTGGGTTCAGATTCTGATGCTGGGTGACCCTAGGAGTGTCACTCTGAATCTCTGTCTCCTAATGGAAGAGGAGCACAACGTCCTAACCTCACAAGATTGCTGGATTAAATGAGAACATTTGTTCATTCCACAACAAATTTCTGGGCACCTGCTCTGCACTAGATACTAGGGAACAGGATAGATTTCCAGCCTTTGTGGCATTTAGACAACTACGCAACACTCAAGCATCATGAAGTCAGCATGTGCCACAAGGATGTAAATGCAGGGATCCCATCTAATTTTTGTTGAACTTCCTAAGCAAGTCAAGTTTCAGTGGAGATCTGAAGAATGACTATGCAGGCAAAAGAGGTAGGTAAGTGTTCCTGGCACTGAGACAGCAAGTGCAAAGGCCCTGAGGTAGGTCAATGGCAAGTCTGCTGCTTTGGGTAGATGGGGGCTGCGGAGGCAGGGCCTTGTATGTCAAGGTAAGGAAACAGTTATGATTGCTATGACTATTGTGAACAATGCCAAAGACACAGATGCAGACCATGTGACCAACCCCTTGTTTATCAGAGAAGAATGAGCCAGAGAGGGGCAGATGCTTGCCTCAGGCGAGTCAGCGGCACAGCCAGCACCCGAACCTAAACCTCCAGACTCCAGCCAGTGCCCCCTTCCACTACATCGTGCTTAGACAACTGTGGATTTTAAAACAATCTGGTTTTGGTGAATCTGCACAAAAGGCAGACAGGGCAGCCCCGTCCTGACTCTATGCCCGAGTGCCAGCTTCCTCTGCACCGGAGGGAACAAGGTCTGGACGCCTGGGTGGAGAGCCAATGAAAGGATCACTGACTCTGTGCACAAGAAACGAATTCCTCGGCCTAATGTCCAGAGGCTGGTGCAGCCTCTTGCCCCAGACACTTGATTCCAGACAGTCCAAGGCAGTCTAGGTGCAAACTGAGGGGCCAGAGTTCAGAGTACAGCCAAGGTGCTGCTGACGACGGGAAGTGGCTGGTGAAGCTGGGGGCAAGCCTTAGGGGGAGACTGTCAAAGAAATGAATTTAAATCAACTTGGAAGTTAGGGAGACCCATCAAAGACCCTCTCACTTTACTGATGGGTAGACTGAGGCCCAGAAAGAGGCGGGAACTCGCTCAAAGCCACGCAGGAAGTCAATGGCAGAGCGAAGCCGAGAACAAAGAGACCCACTGCATTTTCCGTTTCTGGAAGCCGGAGCTGAGCACTCTGGGCTACGAGCCTGAATTGCTCAGCCTTCCTCCTCACCTGCAGGGCTCGATGGCGACACAGTCCAGGCAGCCCGCCGCTAGCGCGAAATCTCTACAGCTGCCGTTTGCAGCGTGACCTTGGGCGAGGCCGGGGGCGTGACGCGGCTGCGGCCGCGCTCCTGACGCCCCCTTCTCGGCTCCAGCGCGCTCCGAAGGCTGGGGGTCTGCCGCCGGCCCCCGGGCTCAGGACCTTCCTGCTCTGCAGCCCGGCCGGTTCAGAAGAAGACACAGCAGCCCGACGAGTGGGAAGATGCGCGCAGGCGCCGGACCGCCCAGCGGAGCCAGAGGCCCGCCCCCTCCTCGCCCCGCCCCCGGCCTTGGCCTTGGCCGCTCCTCCTCCAGCCGTTGCTCCAGCCTCTCCGGGCCCTCGCCCACCTCGCTCCCTCCCGCCGCACCCTCACCTGCCTCAGTGAGGCGCCCTCGGCCACCCGCCCACAACGCACTTCTTTGCCTGCCTTCTTCTTTCTGTCTCCCTCTCTACCCTTGCGTGAGACCCCACACCCTTTCAATCCCCGTCCGCCCCGCCCCCACCCGCATCTCTCGGTCACCTTGCACACTCTCCTCCCTCTTTACCTGCCCCGCCCTCGTCGTCTGTCCCTTATCTGCCTTTCTGCGATGTCTCCCTTCTCCTCCTCCCCAGACCCTTCCGCCTTTCTCGGATCCGGACACCCCGGGGAGGTTCCCAGGCTGACTTGGGAAAAGGGAGATTTGGGACCCCGCCTGGCTTGCCGAGCGCTGTGTGGACTTGGGCAGGGCGCTGTCCGTCTCTGGTTTGAGTCTCCAGTCGGTACTAGGAAGGAATTGCTTTCATTTGGAAACTTGTCTGAGGGTAGAGTCCTCTGCAGCCATCTAGCCATCTAGCTGCTTTTTTTTTTTCATTTGATATACAAATGGTCCTCCTCAAAAATGTTTAAAAGTTTAAATTGTGCAAAGTAAAAAGCCCAATCTCGCTCGCTAAAGACTCATTGAGGATTTATCTTCCCTGACTCTGTCCTTCGCTGAGGATGCGGTGGGGGAAAAAAGACGGGATTCCTGCCTTCATGGTACATGAGACGGGCAGAAACAGACCAAGTAAGTAAGATTGCAGATAGTGATGACTGCTATAAAGGCAATAAAACAGAACGGCGTCTGGAACAGTGTTGGGGCCTCTCTCGGTGAGATGGTTAAGGGAGGGGCAAAGATCTGAATGGCGGCCTGGTGAAGATTAAGGGACAAGTATTGCAGGTGAGAAACAGGAGAGCAAAGGTGCTGGGGCCCCAGCCTGCTTACTGAGCTAGGGCACTGGCTTGCGGGGCGGAGCCGGGTGGGGAGAAAAGGCCGGCCTCTGCAACCCCCCACCTCCGCCCCCATTCCCCAGGGGTTACTGCAGCAGCAGTTTTAGTTATTATGCTGTCATTTTTCTTTCTTTTTAAAAATTTTTTAAAAAATGTTATGTTTATTTCTGAGAGAGAGAGAGACAGCGTGAGCAGGGGGAGGGTCAGAGAGAGAGGCAGACACAGAATCCGAGGCAGACTCCAGGCTCTGAGCTAGCTGCTAGCACAGAGCCCGACAGCGCTGCCAGCACAGACCCGTGAGCCACAAGATCATGACCTGACCCAAAGTCGGATGCTTAACCTACTGAACCACCCAGGCACCCCTATGCTATCATTTTTTCTAGGAGCACACAAACAGGCGTATATTTTCTTTCTTCCTTCTCCGCCTCCCACCCCCTCTTTTTAAAACAAAACTTCCTCCTATATTCTAAGGCTGGTCTGTTCACTTCATTCAGAACCACCTGACCCTTCCTGGGCTCAGGCCTGGGAGGAAATCCAAAGTATAGAGTCACAGACCCTAGGCCAGCAAGGGGGAGCTTGACTCCCAAGCTCAAGCTCATTATGTGTTACAAGTGTGATTCCTACCAGTAGGAGTAGAAACAGTGAATGGGAGGCCAGAGGCCCATCTACATTTCACAGAAGTGGAGTTCACATTCCAGGGTCATCTAAAGCCCATTTCCTTAGGTTCTGGTCCTCACCTCTGCCACCTGCTTCTCTGTGAGCCCTTCACTGAATTCTTTTCCTCTCTGGGCCCCAGTCTCCAATATGCAAAATCAGGAGACTGGACAAAATCACTTCCAACTGAAGTCCAGGCCAGCTTCTTAGTTAATTTCCAAGGTAATTAACTGTGTCCATGGAGCCTCAGTTTCTCCATACATCAGGATTAAGTGAGATTGCATGAAAAAGCTCTTTGAGAAGATGATTCTTTTTTTTTTTTTTTTTTAATTTCTTAGGGGCCCCAGGCTAACTGAATAGCTAAGGCATGCGACTCTTGATCTCACCGGTTGTGAATTCAAGCCCCACGTTGGGCATAGGGATTACTTAAAATATAACAATACGACAAACATTTTAAAAAATCTTAATATAGTTGACACACGTTACATAGTTTCAGGTGCACAGCGTAGTGATTCAGCTTCTTTATACACAGCATCAGCTGTGCTCACCACAAGCGTAGCTACCACCTGTCACCACACAACACTATTACATCACTGACTGTGTTTCCTATGCTGTACTTTTCATCCCCATGACTTATTCATTCCATACTGAAAGCCTGTGTCTCTCACTCCACTTCACCTGTTTTGCCCATCTGTCCACCCCCTTAAAGATGAGTCTTTTCAGATAATTGAATCTCCTGAGAGGTTAAGGATTTTGTTGGGTCACATAACTATTTCAACCCAGGGCACCTGTTGCACAAGGTGGGCGTGTCCATTATAATCCATGTGAATGTGACCCTCATTTTACTGTTTGTCCTTTACATTCTGCCTTTTTCTTTCTCTGAGTAACATTTGCAGAGATAAAGGAGACTTGAGTGTCACAGAAAAGCCAAGGGCAGGTCCCTGCTATTCTGAAACAAGAAACAATCTTTAAAAAAATTTTTTTAACGTTTATTCATTTTTGAGAAAGAGAGTGTGTGTGTGAGCAGGGGAGGGTCAGAGAGAGAGGAAGACACAAAATCTAAAGCAGGTTTCAGGCTCTGAGCTGTCAGCACAGAGCCTGATGCTGGCCCCAAACCTGTGAATCACGAGATCATGACCTGAGCCAAAGTCAGGTGCTTAACTGATTGTGGCACCCAAGTACCCCAGAAACAAGCTTCTTTCTGGCTTGCCAGTTCAAAAATGGGTACACTTGGGGCACCTGGCTGGCTCAGTCAGTAGAACGTGTGACTCTTGACCTCAGGGTCGTGAGTTCAAGCCCCACACTGGGTGTAGAGCTTACTTAATGGGTATAGCTTCCTAAGTTGGGTGGCGGAAATCCTCCTTGGAGGGTTTCATCCCTTGATCTATCCTGTGTGGATTCTGGGCTCATGATTCCCCCTGGAGATGCCTGGTGTGTGGTCATACTGAACATTGCTGTAGTCCACTGCTCTTTGGGGAAGCCAAGTTTTTTATATGAGGCTTTTGCACTGGAGAACCTCATATTCTTTTTTTTTTTTAATGTATTTTTTAATCTTTTTTATTTATTTCTAGGAGAGAGAGAGAGAGAGACAGCGTGAGCAGGGGAGGGTCAGAGAGAGAGGGAGTCACAGACTGAAACAGGCTCCAGGCTCTGAGCTGGCAGTCAGCACAGACCCCGACGCGGGGCTCGAACCCACAAACCGCGAGATCATGACCTAAGCGAAAGTCGGACGCTTAACCGACTAAGCCACCCAGGCGCCCCGAGAACCTCATATTCTTATACATAAGTAATCCCAGCCTGGGGCCGCCAGACATGTTCCTCTTTACCTAAAAATGTTCATGTACTTATTTAACTTATATTAAAATATATCATAGAGAAATGTACAAGCAGGTGTACATGTCCTTGACTTCTTACAAGGTAAACATTCCCATGCAGATAGTACTCAGACCAAGAACAAGCACTTCCAGAACTCTTGAGACCCAGTCTACTTCCACTTGCTTACCCCCCCGCCACATGGTTTGTTTCTGAACAGTATATAAATGGAATAATACAGCATACACTCTTTTGTCTTGCCTCTTTTGCTCAAAATTTTTAAGATTTATCCATGTTGCTACACGTTTTTGCAGGTCATTCATTCTCCTACCTGTAATATTCCATGATATGAATATCCCACATTTTATTGTTTTATAACAAATGTTACTACTTTTTAAGATTTTATTTTTAAGTTGTTTCTATACCCAATGTAGAGGTCAGACTCACAATCCTGAGATCGAGTTGAATGTTCTACCAATGAGCCAGTCAGGCACCCCTCTTGTTTTCTCTTTTTATTTTTATTAAAAAAATTTTTTTAATGTTTTATTTATTTCTGAGAGAGACAGACAGCATGAGCAGGGGAGGGTAAGGGAGAGAGGGAGATACAGAATCCGAAACAGGCTCCAGGCTCTGAGCTAGCTGTCAACACAGAGCCCGACACGGGGCTCAAACTCACGAACTGTGAGATCATGACCTGAGCCGAAGCCAGACGCTTAACTGACTGAGCCACCCAGGCGCCCCTTGTTTTCTCTTTTTAAAGTACTTGGAGCTTGAACTCATCTCCCTGAAATCAAAGAGTCACATGCTGTACCAACTGAGCCAGTCAGGCACCCCAGCGCAATGTACTGTTGATGGACACTTGGGTTATCTCCAGTTCTTGGTTATTACAAATATTAGAAAGTGTGGATATGAACATTCTTGAATATGTAGGTCGCTGGGTGAACATATGCACACATTTCTGTTATGTAAATACCTAGATGTGGAATCATGGGGTCATGAACTCTACATGTGTTCAGCTTTCATGTTTAGGGCCAATTTTCTGAAGTGGTTGTACAGTCATGGCTCAAGAGTTTCAGCACCTACACATTCTCAACCATTGACATTATTTCTTTTTAAAGCTTGAGGCACTCTGATGGAAGTAGGGTGGCAGCTCATTGTGGTTTGAATTTGAACTTCTATGTTGACTAATGGAGATAACACCTTTTCATATATGCATTGGCCACGTTTTTCATTTATTTTTGTTAACACAAATAACACACAAATATAACCTTCTTAGGTAAAATACATGAATAGAAAAATGCATCTGAAGCTAGGATAATACCTAAAAAGCTAAAGTTCCCCTGGAACCAATCCCTGCCCCAGTTTTAAGCACTGGGTTTGGAGTCTGGCGATCTGAACCCCAGCCCTGGTCGGCCAATGGCTTGTGTGGATTTGAACAAGTTCCCTTTCTGGGTTTGTCTCCCATCTGTACAATCAGAACGTGTAACTCGATGTTCTCTGCAGTCCTCTTGGCTGTGCTGACCACTGTTTCGTTGATTGCAAGACACTTCATTTGCCCCTATATCCATTCTCTCCTTTGTCCTTAGTAACTTAGCCCCTGGGTTTCAGCTGAGCACCCGGCCGCCCCACTAGACTGTTTTCCAGCCTGCCTTACACAACTAGCTGTGGCCGTGACTGAGTTCAGACAAGAGCTTACAGGCAGAACTGATATGTGCCACTTTCGGGGTGCACCCGTATAAAGAAGCATCTTGCCTTCCACTCATCCCTCTCCTCTTTCTGCTGAGGGAAAGAAGCTAATGGTGGAAACGGAACTTGCCATCCTTGACCATGAGATGGAAGCCGAGATGTGTTTAGGAGGATGGAATAAGGATGGAGCCTGGACCCACCGCACCACGTAGCTGACATGGTCTGGACTGCTCAGAGGGAAATATTTCCTTCTTAGCTATCATTACCTTGGCTTTTGTTATGGCCACTAGACTTGAATCCTGACTAATACAGGGCAACAGGGGAATGACTTTAAATTGGGTGTGAGGGCAGGTTTTCTGAGGAAGTGACATGTGAGCCAAGATCTTAAAAAGGAGACAGTCACACAGATTTTGGGGGAAAGCATTCCAGGAAAGGGGGACCACTCTGCAAAGCTCGGAGACTCCTGTAGACTTCTGTGTAATGAGGCAGACCTGGTCAATCACAGTGCCACATCTCCCATGCCACTGTGTATGGTGACTGAATGAAGGGGCTGGTTCAGGTGACCTGAACGGGGCCAGTCAGAAACCTCCAGAGATCTGTTGTGAATGATGAGAAAGGGCCTTTCTTTGGGATTATAAGTCATAAGGACCATTTAAGGATCGTGTGGCTGCCAAGTGTCCAAAACCCATCTTAGAATAAAGCCAAGAACTAGGAAGGGACATAGCCTCCATGACAGCCTTTAACCCTAGACTCAACCACACTTGACCTTATTGAAATCCAGTTATAAAAACCAATCATTTCCTTTTTTGCTACTGAATTGGATTCTGTCACTTGCAACCATAAGTCCCTGCAACTCATGAAATCTACCTCCTAAACCCACTCCCTCCTTCATGCCCTCTGTCTTCACTCCAGTCCAGTCTACAGAATCTCTCTTCTGCACTTTGCCAGTGCTGCCAAATGTTCTCATAAAATGGAAAATCAGAGCGAGTCATTCCCCTGCTTAAAATCCTTCCGATGGCTTTTCTTTCTCTTGGAATAGTCTGGAAAGGCTCTCCATCTTCCTTATACACATGGCTTTTGACCACTGCATGGTTTGGCCCTGGTCTTGCTCTACTCAATTCAAGCCATCTCTCCTTTCATCATTCACTGCGCTCCAGACACACCTGCTTTGTGTTCTAGCTCATTCTAGACGCGGAGTTCCTTCTGTCTGGAATGCTCTTAGCTTGGTTGCTCATCCTTCCGGTCAAGGGTTAAATATCAGCGTCTCAGGGCAGTGTTTTCTGACCCTTCAAACTCAGTCAGGTCCTGGTGACCTTCACAGCCCCTGTCCCCACATCACCAGTGACACATCTACCTCCTGGTTCTCCTCACAGAGACCCTCATCCTCATTCCACTTAACCTTTACTTCTGGGGGGACTAGGACATAGGCAGAGTGGTTTGCCTGCCGTGGACTTTGTACCTAAAGAGCAAGGTCCGTCTGCCGTCCCGATGCCGACAAGAACCAGGCCTCATATTAGCTTAGCAATGATGAGTCTGGGATGGTCCTGGAGAACATCCCCTTCCACACTAATCAGAAATGAGCTCAGGGACCAGGGGACAAGAAGCCCAGTGGCTAACATGGCCAAAGGTTCTGGTCTGGTCAGAACCCTGAGGCCCATCAGTGGCGCATCTCCAATCAGAGCTTCAGGCCTCCAGGTGGGACTTGCAGGCTCTGACTCCTTGGAAGGTGAAGCTTTACGACTCTTTAAGCCCCGGTTTGGGCTGGCCACCTCCCCAAACGCTGAGGATGGGGGGGGCGGGGGGGGTCAGGTCCTCAGTGAGGTCAGCCTTGGCTCTGGGGAAGACACCAGGAGTCAGAGGAGGCCGGGCTGTCTACAGGAGCTGCTGGGAGCTTATAATTGCACTATTTAAAATGGATTGTACTGCTTTAAGGTCTGAATCGAGCTTGCTTTGGCCCTAGATTTGGAATTTCTTGTCACTTTGCAGTTGGGCAGGTAGACTTGCAAAATGGCCCCTCGTCAGCTGGGCCTTCACCTTTACTAAGAGGAGCATTATGTCGTGAGTCTCGGAGGAATCACAGCGCGCAGCCAGGCCCCCACGCCAGAAACCCACGAAGGCGTTCTTGTTTCCTCTCGCCGCCTAGACTTCAAGAGCTTAGGCAAAATCTGCTAATTCTGCCTCTGAAATGTATCCTGAACACATCTCCTCCTTCCTCTCTCCACTGCCACCACCCTGGTCCAGGCCACCGTCAGTGCTCTCTGTGCTCTCTGGGGTCTGCAAAATAAGACCAAGCTTCTTACAAGGTGCAGGGCCTATCTTTCCAATCTCCACTCCGGTCAACTACCGTCTTCGTCAGCATCCTGCTCCCCGGGGCCCTGCCAAGCTCCTCCCACCGCAGGACCTTTGCACACTTCGCGTCATTCTTGCAGCTTCTGGTGCACTTGCCTCTGCTCTCCGGAAGGATCCCTTCTTGTCCCTCAGCCTCAGGGAGGGCCTCTCAACCACCCTCTCAAGAGAGACCATGAGTGTTGTTCTCAGTGTCAGACCCTTTCTTTCCTTCAAAGCACTTGTTGCGACTTGTAACTGCTTTGTTTTCTCGTTGTCGTCTGTCTCCCATTGGAGACATGCATAGGTTCCACACACAGAGACAGGCTGAGGTCTGCCCTGATATACCCCCAGTTCCCGGCACTGTGTCTGGGCACCGAGGGGATGTTCTTAAAAATTCCCTTGACAGAAAAGCCCTTTTGGTGGTGGCACCTTGAACAGGCGGGAGCTCCCTCTTTGTTTCTGGATTCTGATCCTCAGGCAGCGTTTCTGCTCGTGAACAGGTAACTCTCCTCTGGGGATGCGGCTCAGAGCAGACGGTCTCAGGCAGCCTGGTGACACGGGCCTGGCTGGGAAGCACCTTCCGGAGGAATCGTGGCAAATCTCAACTCCAACCCCAAAGATGTCAGTCTCGGCCTCTGTCCCAGGGCTCAGCTCTGCTGCCAAGGCCTCGGGCTTTCCAGAGCTTCTCATAATTCAAGATGAACTTGCCTTGCTCTTCTCCTAACGCCCCAAGCCCCTCTCCCGGGCCCTGCCCTTGACTCCTGGTGGCTTTCAAGCTGAAGCCAAGCCAGAAGAAGGGGGGGGCGGTGGTGGCGGAGGAGGGCCTCAGGGATGACCCAGGGGAGGGGCGGGGAAGCCTGGGATGGCCTGAGTGGTTCGCTCTGGCAAGCTGGCAGAAAGCACGGAGGGCTGCGGGGCACCTCCGAGCGTGAGAGAGTAGGAAGAGAGCGGGGCACAGTTCTAAAGCAGCGTTCACTTTGGATTTTACTTCTCCAAGATCCCGGGACCTTTTACAAGTTCTAGGTGTGGGGTCTCATGCACTGTAGCCATCACTCCTCCTTCAGCCACTGCAGCAGCTGAGGCGTGTAGTAGGTGATGATGACGTCGGCACCTGTGGGGGGACAGAGGCAGGAAGTGGGGAGAGGCCGTTCATCAGCTCTGGGGGCACCTTCCGGGAGATGAGGGCCAGGGGCGGGGGAGGCGACTCTGGTGAGGAGGCATGGCCCGTGGGTGTCACACCGTGCGACGGAGCCAAGCTCGGGTCAGTGAGGGTTCTACACGCTGTGTGACCCTGGGCAAGTCATCTTCTCTTACTGGGCCCCTGTTTGCCAAATGCACAGCAGGAGAAATAAGTAGGTTGTAAGAGATCTTCCCACGCTGGGTGCACACCAACAAAACCAGTTCTGTTTACGGAGTGGTGGGCATCTGCCGACTATACATACCATCTCATTTAATCTTCCTGACAACCGTGCATAGGTACTTTGTATCCCCAGTTTATAGACAAGGACACTGAGGTTCACAGAAGCGGCTTGGCTGAGGTCTCAAAACCTAAATGCTTTCTTCACTCTTCCATGTTCTGTTTGGCAATTCTGCGTCCCCTCTTCACTCTGTGTTTCTGGACATTGCTGGTCTTTCCCCGCATGACACCCTAGGCTGTCTCACGGCTTTATCTCCCTCTCTGGGCAAAGTGCCTATCAGCCCCGTGGCACAGCCCGGCCTGTTTACCTGCGCGGCGGAAGGCGGTCATGGCCTCCAGGACAGCAGCCTTGAGATCAAACGCCCCGGCCCGGGCTCCGTGCCACAGCATGGCGAACTCTCCAGAAACGTGGTACACAGCAAGAGGGAGCTCAGGGTGCTGAGGGAAAGCAGCGGTGGGCACACAAATTGAAGTGGAGTGGCGGGGTGCCTCTGGGAATGTCCCTTCCTCCCTGCCCGAACCTGTGAGCATCTCAAGTGCCATGACCTGTGTCACTGCTGCTGACAGCCCGGCCCATTTTTTTCTTCTTTTTTATAATGCTTATATCTTTGCTTGAGAGAGAGAGGAAGAGGGAGGGAGGAGCAGAGAGAGAGAGGGAGAGAATCCCAAGCTGCCTCCATGCTCAGGGAGGAGACTGACAAGGGGATCGATCCCAAGACCGCGAGGTCATGACCTGAGCCCAAACTGAAAGGTGGATGTTTAACCAACTGAGCCGCCCAGGTGCCCCTAGCCTGGCCCATTCTGGAACTGTGAAAGCACAGCTGCTCCAAGGCTCCTGTGAGCCCTGGGGCTAATGCCTGTGGTGGTTCCGGGGCATGGATGTAGTGGAAGGATTCGTGTCCAGGGGCAGACTGCTCTGAACTCAGGGTCTGCAGCCTCTCGGTCTGAGGTCCCAGGGTCTGTGGACAAACTCCCTCGTCTCCCCGAGCCCCTGCTTGTCTCTGCTCCGTCTGCTCACCTTGTCCTTCACCTCCCGCACGATGTCCAGGTAGGGCATTCCCGGCTTTACCATGAGCATGTCGGCTCCTTCCCGTACATCCCGGGCCTGAGGGGTGAAGCACTGTGTGGGTAGTGCCCGGGTGGCGAGCAGGGAAGGGGCCGGGCTGGGTGGGGCTCGAGCTCTGGTCACTCACCACTGCTCGCAGCGCCAGGCCCCGGGCTCCCGGCGGCAGCTGGTAGCAGCGGCGATCTCCGAAAGCGGGGCTTGACTGGGCCGCGTCCCTGGGAAGCAGAGGCATCAGGGTGGGCTCTAGTTCTGGGCTAACAGGTCAGAGGCTTGACAGTGAGCCCCTGCCGATCCCCACTCACCGGAAAGGTCCGTAGAAACAGGATGCAAATTTGGCACTATAGCTCATCACTGATACCTACGGGGAGAAAGTGGGGCGCAAGCTTCAGGCAGCCTTTCTGGATGTCCCAGGGTGAAGTGACAGGGACAGGAAGGATGCAGGCTGGGAAGTAGCGTGTCTGCGCTCTAGCCCCATTACCACTCTGGACCTTGGTTTCCCCATGTGAGGCGCAGAGATTGAGATGGATCCCAAAGGGCTTGTCCAGTGCTGTTTTCACTTCCATGATTCTTTTTTTTTTTTAAGTTAGTTTTTTTGTTCATTTAATTTTATTTTTGAGAGAGAGAGCGGGAGAGGCAGAGAGAGAGAGAGAGAGAGAGAGAGAGATTGAGAGAGAATCCCAAGCAGGCTCCATGGTGTCAGCACAGAGTCTGATGCGGGGCTTGAACCCACGAACTGTGAGATCATGACTTGAGCCGAAAACAAGAGCCGGATGCCCGACTGAGCCACCCAGGCGCCCCTCACTTCTGTGATTCTTAGCATGTGTGGGGACAGGCTGGTCAAGGCTGTCTCCACACCCTCCCCATGCCCCTCGCCATACTCCCCACCCTACCCTGTTGCCAAGTCCATGTGCCATCAGGGCCTCCTTGATGGCTTCCACACGTCCATCCATCATGTCCGATGGGGCTACCACCTGACATCCTGAGGGGCAGAGGGTGGCCTTGAGAACTTGGGGACCCCCGTACCCACTCTGCCACCTCCCTGACCCGGGGCTGCTCATCTCTGCCGAAGGCTCACTCACCTGCCTTGGCATAGGCCAGCGCTACTTCCGCCAGCCGCTGGCGGCTCTCCTCCGCCTGGAACGCGCCGTTCTTGCCTAGGAGCCCTGCAGGACACATGGCCGGGTTTGGGGGAGCGTCCGGGTCCCTGGCCCATCCCACTTGGGAACTCACCACAGTGGAGGGCTGGTGGAGGGGGGGAACTCACCACAGTGACCGTGAGAGGTGTAGGGACACAAGCAGACATCACAGGCCACCAGGAGGCTGGGGAACGTCTTGCGCAACAAACGGATGGCCTCGACGGTCGGGGAGTCCTCAGAGTCGGCTGCAGAGCCCCGTTCGTCCTGGGGGCCGGGGAAGGACAGAGCGGCAAGTCTGCGACCTGAAGCCCTCCAGACGCAGGACAGCCAGACCTCACAGAGCTCATGGCCGCCTGCGCGGGGATGTGGTAAGGACTGTCTCCATTTTGCACAGGGCCTGTGACCTGCACGGTCAGGGTGTCACAGCCCTACTCGGCTTCTCGTCCCTACACGGGTGCTGTCATTAGGTAGGGCCGTGTCCACTCACCCAGGCCCCAGGACCAGCGCAAGGTGGTGATGAGGGTGTGGTCAGTGTGGGACTGTGGCTCAGCCGCACGCCTACCTCCCCCCCCCCCCCAACTCTGCTGTCGGTTCTCCACCTTGGGGACTCTGCTGGGGACTCCAAAGACCAGGACGCAGCGCAGGCCCTCTTCCACCAGCGGCTTCAGCATCTCTTCCAGGCGGTTCACACCATATCTGTGGGGGGGAGGGGCGGAGGGTTGAAATGAGGTAGGTCCAAGGCAATGGGTCCCCTCACTCATCTGTTAAGAGCCTAGCTGCATGGCTCAAGGACAGCTCAAGCCCCACAGTACCGGGAGGGGTGGGAATGTGCCCACCAAACAGATGGGAAAACCAAGGCCCGCAGAAGCAGAGCTAGGAAATTTAGCTCGGGAAGGCCCCCTCCGAGTTCTCACTGAACTCCCATTTGCAGTTCCGCCCTCCTCTGCTCTGACACCTCTGGTGAACGAATGGATCGCTCGTCCCTCTAGGAGACTGCCTCTTCTGATGTGGAACAACTCTGGCCCCGCGAAAACCCTTCTGTCTACTAAGCTCAAGTGAGCCTCTCCACCTCTTCTACCTCCCGGGTCGGCTCCCTGGCACCTCCACCTGGGAACTCTCTCCCTCCGTCCTCCCCTGGCCCTCCCCACCACGTGCCCTACCTGGCCACTCCTGGGAGGCTGTCGATGGGCTGTACGTCATCAGGAACATCCCTGCAAGAGTGGAAGGGTGGCGGTTACGGACTGGGGGCTGTGGGAAGGGCCAGCGGCGGGCGAGTGATGGGGACGGATGGCGGGGAGGTGGGAAGGGGTACAGAAGTGGGGACGGAGGGAGGAGGCTGGGGTCCAGTGTCTGGCTCCCTGCCTGGCCAAGCCCGGGGCCTGAAATAGTACTAGGAACAACCAAAGATTGACAGTGACAGCAGAAGCGGCTGGACTAAACGAGCAGTAATCACAGGAAAGAGCCAAATAGCTAAGAACTTGGACTCTAAAGTCAGAGGGCCCTCGCCGGCCCTCCCAGCCACTTACTGGCTGGGCGACCTTGGCCAACTTGTACCATTTCTCTTTGAGCCCCAGGCCCTTCATCTGTATTTGGGTGGATGCGTTCATTCATGCAACAAATATTGAGCCTTTATTATGTGCCAGGTACTGTTCACTCTCTGGAGATACAAAGTGAACGAAACAGACACAAATCCCTCACGGAGAAGATAGTCTAGGGAATAACAGCCACACCTTCTTCACACGAATACTGCCAGGACCGAATGGGGTAATACATGTAGGTGCTAGCATAGCACCCGGTACACAGTAAGCACTCAGTAAGTGTCAGCCGGTGCTCACGGCTGCACCTCCTACATGCACACAGCTCTTTACGGTCTACGGAATGCCTTCTCAGCCTCTGTCTTACGGCAACAGATCAGGATGGGAGACCAGGTTATTATTCTTCTTTTCCAAGTGGGAAGATTGAGTTCTTCTTAAGGTTTGTTTGGTTCCTAAAACTTGTCCTTAACCCATTCTCAGTCTCTCCCTCTTTTTCACACCCACACCCACCCCAGAGACCTGGACCGTTCCTGGGACTCACGTGACAAAGATGGGGTAGATGAGGTTGGCGGTGCTGAGGGTGGCGGTGGCCGTCTGCCAGGTGCGAAGCAGGGGGTGGAAGTAGCCGCTGTGCAGGATCGACTGGGGCTGCATGGCGGACACGGCAACAGGCAGCTGGCTGGCCGCAACCGAGGGCTCCCGAGGGGTCTGCTGTGTGCCCGGCTCTGGGGGACAACAGGAGGCACATGAGATGCGGTCCCTGTCCCCAGTAGAGGGCCACCCCCTCCCCCCAAGCTCTTCCAGATTCCTGCCTCCGCGGCTTTCCGGCCGGTGCACCTCCGATGTGGTTCACCAATGCCTGCTGGTCTGCGGCGAGGTGAGTAGAGAGAGGGAAGCAGGCCCTTCGGACACTCTCCTGGCTGCTGGGATCGAGTAATAAGATTTGGACTTGTATTCTATATGGTCTTTCTCTTTTTCGAAAATAACATTTCTCTAGCAACTCAATTTTACTGTATTTTATCCAAAGAAATGAATCAGTGAAGGGGTGGAAATGAGGATGAGAAGCACTGACCTGGCCAACATTCAGACTTTGTTTATTCCATGAAAAACGTTCGTGTGCTTGGCAGAAATTTTAGATAAGCAAAAAGAGAAAAATCTCCTATAATTCCACTTCTAGAGAAAAGCACCATTAACACCTTGGTCCAGAGACTTCTGGTAGGTGCAACACACGCTAAGAGGATTAAATAGCACGTGACAGACAGACAAGACAGGCTGGTAGACAGACAGAACTCCAGTAGGGTGGCCACAGAAATGGTCTCTTCCAGCCCGAGAGCCTCCTGCTGCTTCCCAAGCACAGGCACCACTTGGCCTTGGCCACTTTCTGGTCCTGTTCACCGTGTCCCCTAACCTAGAAGGTTTGTGCTCTCTCCACACCCTCGTCACCCCCAAATCCCACCAGGCGCTCCCCCCCTTCCCTCTCCCACTGAGGCCTCTCCCGCCCACATCCTAATCTCTCTTATGTAACAGCTCTCTGTGGATCTACCTTATGTCATTCGGGTAGACAGCGCTTCTGCAGGGCAGGGTCCACAGTGAGTTCATTTCTGCTCTCCCCGCCCCCACCCCACCCCCAGCACTCTGCCGCACGTAAATATTTAACTACATGAAGTATAGGACAAAGTGCCCTAATGCCAAATAAGCGCTGTAAGACAGAAGGAAGCTGGGGCATTACATTTGTTTCCTGAGCACCTACTACGTGGCAGGCGACGGGCACTTGCGCACATGATTTCTCATCGAGGCGCCACTACAGTCCAGGCGGTAGGGGGTTGGGAGTGCCTCTCAGAGAGGAACCCCCCACAGCAGACCAGGGCTTCCAATGCGAGTTTGGAGGTTGGAAGAAGCTTGTTGGAAGATGGGGGCTTAAACTTGGGTGTTTCGGGATGAATGGGTTCAGCTCAGCGGAGGGAAAGGGGAGAATGTTCCCTCAGGAAGGGAAGTGAGGGGCAAAGGAGGAACGGCTGTTCTGAGGGCTGAGGAGGCAATCGAGCATGCATGTCCTAGGGAGGGGACCAAGGGAGGCCAGGCTGAGGCCCAGGAAGATCGGGAAGATCGGGGTGGGCAGGGTAGGAGGAGCCTGGTCAGAGGCTGTTAGGAAGATGATTCTGGCAGGCTGAGCAGAGGAGCACAGAGACGGTGGGGGTAGTTGGGAGGAAAAGGAAGGGCCGCCATAAGGCAGCCAAGAGGCAGTCTCTCGGGACGGATGCTCTGAGCTTACGTGACCCAGACGGCAACGGAGACAGGGACAGGCAGGAAGACGGTGGTGGGGAGCTGAGCTGTTGGAGGTGCCTGGGACAATACTCAGAAGCCAGGGAGGGGGAAGAAAGAGCCACTCATCTCTCCTTGTACGAATGGGACCTCAAGGCCCAGGGAAGGGCACGGACTTACCCAAGGTTACCCTTAGAGAGGGGAGAGGCTAAAACAGTAGGGCCAGCAGTCTGGTGTGTCAATTCCCAGGCGGAGACTGGGGATGGGGGTCCTCGAGGCCGCAGCTAATGCCCTTCTCTCAGGTCCTTTCAGCTCCCTCCCAATCAGCTCAGGGGCCCACTTTATCCAGTTCTCCTCCTTGGCAGGGCTGGGGTTATCGGGAACGGCACCAGGACCCGCCCCACCACCACACCCCGCGGCCACCACATCGTCTGACACAGAGGCCAGTCAGGCCTCCCCAGTTGATGTCCCAGCCCCCAAATGAGCAATCAGTCATTCAGCAGATGCAAAGTCCTAAGTGCCCATTTTAAGCAAGACTTTGCTGTCAGGTCTGCTAGGGGGTTGGGTCAGCTCAGAGAGGTTAAGTCCTTTGCCTAAGACCACACAGCTGGTTAGTAACTGGGCCGGAATTTGAATCTGTTCTAGACAACAAATACAAGGTTTTATTTACCGTACCCCATGATCCTGATAAATACTTGATTCAACAGGCATCTCTCTGCCTCTACTATCTTTGCTTTGTGGGTTGGAGAGATGGAGGCTACACGAGAGAAAAAGATACTGACTATGTTGTGTGCTGGGGCCACTGGACTGGGTCCCTTTGCATAGATCTCATCTAACCGTAGAGGCTTCCAGCTGTCAGTGATAAGGAAATGGAGGAGAGGTTAAAAGATTTGTTTGGAGCCCATGCCTCTGATTCACTTCCTAGAGAACAACCTTTGCAGCAGGACCCTGGCTTCTGGAACTCAAAGCTGCATTCCACTGACCTTAGCTCCCCATCTACTTTAGAAGGCTGGGCCAGCAAATGTCTTCTGCTTATCAGGAGCAGCACAGCAGACGGCCAGGAGCTTTGCAGCCCAAGCTCTACCACAAGGAGGCTGGAGGATGGGGGGGACAAGGGTGAGTGGGTTGAAAGAAGGCCTCACTAGGGCACTGCCATTTGCTTCTGTTTCTTCTCCCTCTTTTTTTTTTTTTTTTTTAACGTTTATTTATGTATTTTGACACAAAGAGAGAGCGAGAGCACACATGAGTGCAAGCTTGGGACAGGCAGAGAGAGAGAATCCCAAGCAGGCTCCATGCTGACAGCACAGAGCCCAACACGGCGGGGGGCGGGGGGGGGAAGGAGTGAGGGGGGCGATCTCATGAACTGTGAGATCACGACCTGACCCACAAAATCAAGAGTCGGCCGCTTACCCTTCTGAGCCACCCAAGGTGCCCCTGTATCTGTTTCTTTAATCTTAGGGTTAGGAAGACACTTGATTTGAGAAACGGGTGTCAGTGCTGAGAAAATTAAGAAGTTGAGAATCACTGGTCCTGTTCATCCCTTACATTCTGGCGTGGAAAATGAGGCACAGAGAGGCAACAGGACTTGTTCTGACATCACACGGTGAGTTAGGTACAGAGCTGGACTTGACCATGAGTCTCCAGACTTCTAGTCCACTGCCCTGTTACCTATATCACACACTGTCATTCTGTTACAGCAGGCACTTAAAAAATATTTGTGGAAGAGAAAAACAGCCCTTAAGCCAGAGTTGCCTGTTTGCAGAGCCAAATCCAAGCCAAGGTTGTTTTGCTTTGCAAGAAGTCCCTCACGACTGGGAGATTTCCACACACTTGGGAGGGCACTTCCTCCAAATCAAGGGAGCCTGTAAGCCACAGCTTAAATCCCGTGACACCTCAAAGACAATAGCAAGTCACCATGGGACCCAGCACCTATGCTCACCCACATCAGAGCACGTTAGCTTAGCTGGAAGGCAGCATAGGGTGGTGTAGACAGAGCCCTGTTTCAGGGTCACAGAGGCCCAGGTCTGCTCTGTGCCGTGTGGGCAACTTTGGGGAAGGTTGCTGGCCTTTCAGGGCCTTCATTTCATAATGTATAAAATGGGACTGATACTATCAAACTTGCAAAGCTGAGGGGATTAGATTAGAGATAGGTACGTGTCTGGCACCAGGTAGCAGCCCAGTAAACACGTAGCTACTACTTTTATCATAATTTGGAGCAGAACTGAGCGGGAAGTAGATCTCCAGTCAACACAGCTGTGTCTTCCCCACCACACCCAGAAGGGGCAACTTGCCCTAAACCTGTGTGGCCACAGGGTCTCCTGAGATATCTCAGATGCTATAGTAGAGGGTGGACTAGATGTTATCCACGGGAGGGGCCTGTGTCTCCGGGAGTCAAGGATGGCTTCATGCAAGAGGTAGTTTTGCAGACTGATTACGAAGGTATCTCCTTCCTTAAGTACTAAGTTAGGACCTGAAAACTGCCAGTGGGGGGCTTGGGGGAGGGGGGTCAGAAGGAGCTGCAAGGCCTGATCTTCCCAGGTTATGCTCTGCTGAGGATTTCAGAGGCTGTGCTCTTGGCGCAGAGGGTCGGGGACTCTGCCAGCTCTGGCAGGCTCTGCCCTTTGTCAGAGAGGAGGCAGTCAGGAGGGCCAACTAAGTAGAAGGTGGCCAGGGCTGAGAAATCCAAAGCCCCAGAAGGGCCCAGGACAGCAGCTGCCAGGCAGTTCTGAAAAGGGACCAGCTAACAAGCATTTCCTGAATATCTGCCCTGGGCCTGCCCCAGTGCTGGATACAGGGATTAACGAGAAGCATGAGACCCAGGCCTTGACCTAGAGCTTTGAAGAGCCCAGCCTCTTCTGGGCTTAGCTGTTTTGGAGCTACAATGAGAATCGGCCAGTTCCACAGCTTCCTAGAGTAAGAGGCCCCTTAAAGCTTGTTGATTATATCATTGAAATAATGGTGAAGTGGGCTCAGAGAAAGGCAGACACTGGCTCAAGATCCTGCAAGGGGTCAATGGCAGATCTGGGGCTAGAATTCAGGTCTCCAGAAGCCCAGTTCTTAGTGCCCACCATTAGTCCTTGCTACTTTAAGTACAGATTTCAAAACTACTTACCGGCGGAGCTGGGCTTGTGGAGAACTCTGAAGTAGGAGGGTATGAGGGAGGAGGCAGAACGCTGACTCTGGACTTGGCTTTAGATGACAGCCTGATGGTTAAGCATATGGGATTTGGAGTCTGTAAACACAGGTTCAAATCCCGGTTCTCACTTTCCAGCTGTGCGATCTCAATTTCGTATCTGGTAAATGGGGACTTGAACCGACCTCAACAGGCTGTTGTAGACTTAATGGGCCAACGGATGTGACTTATGTATAAATCTAGCACAAAGCGACTTTTACTGTCTCCACTTCCTCTGCCCCATCGTCCAAGGCACCTCAACCTCTGCACTGACAGACAAAGCCCCAAGGGTCTCCAAGGGAGTGGACCCCAGAGAAGAGATGCGGAGCCAGGAGCCGGGCCCCCAATGGCTACATCCCCGCAGAGAACCCAATCCTGGGTGCAGCGGGGCAATCTAAGCCTAAACAAGGGCTCCGCAAGGACGCTGTCCCCGGCTGCACCGCCAGCGCTTTAGGCGCACGGCACATCTGGGCCTGGGGACAAGGGATTCTTGGTGCCACAGCCCCCACCTCCAAGTCCGCGGTCTCCCCGAGTGCGGTCCCAACTCACCTCGTTTCCTCAAGGACTCGGAGCTGCGGCTCCCGCCACCGCCGTAGCTCGTTTTAGTCTCCCGGGGCCCACGTGGGGGCGGTACGGCTTACCCGGAAGCAGCTCCCCCCTTGCAGTTCGCCCCAATCAGCTTTCAGGCCGCGCCCCCTACGAGCCCTTGGCTACGGGCTAGTCAGCTCCGGCCTCAGCCCCGCCCACGCATGTCGAGCCCTGGCCAATCAGGTGTGCGGAAGGGCTGGAGGGTCTGCGTTTCCCCCCAAACCCCTCCACCGCCCCTTACTTGGGGCGGGAGCTCCAATAACGGAAGGACACACGGATCTTATGTGGGGGCGCGGGGGTGATGCAGGAGGGATCCCTGAGAGTCGGAATCCGAGGTGGTTACAGCCCTGAGGTTCTCTTTACTTCCCAGTCTGGCGCATTCTTGGCGCCGGTTAATCGTTGAAAGAGTAATTGGATGTCAAGGACATTAAAACAACACCTTAATGCCGAACACAATAGCTACGTCCATTTTTGCAGACTGAGTATTTTAAAGCTGTTGAGTTCAGCACCAGGCGGCCTTCCAGGTTTTCAGAGCAAAATTTATTCCAGCGTAATTACTCAGGGCCTGCTCTGTGCCATGGATTTAGAGATGTGATGTGAAAAGACATGGGCACTGCGGAAAAGCTCTGAGAGGGGCATCAGGCCAGTCTAGGATGGGTACAGTGCGACATTTGACCAAAGAGGTTTTGGGCAGAGTATGTGCAGGGGAAGGAGGGAACCAATGAGGTTTATGGGACTTAGGTGAATTGGTGGCATTGGGTGGGTGAAGTAGGGGTGGAGATCAATACTCTAGCAAAGGAATGCCCTTTATCAAGGCATTAGGGTCATGAAAAAGCCGACTTTGACTTGTAGTGGAAGCCAGTGAGTTGGTTGTATTACACTTACTCTCACTCTCAGATTTTCTCAAAATCGGTACCCCAAAATTGTTTTATACCTCTTTAAGTTCCAAGTTAAATAGGCAGAGACTTAATGCTAGGGAAACACGAAGTTTCCAGCTACTGGAGTTCTGATCTGTGGTCAAATAAGGGAGATGGGACAAAGAAGTCATATTTTTGGTGCATTTAAGAGTCAAGGACAGTACCATGCATTCACTTACCTAATTTTGATGACAATTATGTTACTATCCTCCTTTTACAGACTGGGAAGACAACCTCTGTGGGGATTAAACAATTTGCTGCGTGTCACACGGGGTTTTCTCGGCAATACCTACTAGTCATGCTCTTCAGCTCATGTGGGTGATTAGTGCCTCCTCCCCTTCTAGATCCCCTGCTCATTTCTTTCATGACACCAGGTCCATCTCTGAGTGTATTGATAACTAAGCATAATTAGGACTATTTACCTCAAAGAGTCGAAAAAGGGTGGAAAATTTAAGAATGTTGCTGTTTGGTGTAATCAATTTCTCGTATCTTATTCTTGGTGAGAAGACCTGTTCCCATTCTCTACCCTAACCCAAGTATTTGAAAATACTTTAATCCTTAATCTTTGTCTTATCCACAGAGTCGTGTGAATACAACAATGTGAACACATCTTAAATATAATGTTGAACAAAAGGAGCACAAGAATACATATTGTATGATTTCATTTATATGAAATACAAATCAGGCAGAATTCACTTGTGCTGTTAGAAGTCAGGATAGTGATTACAATGGGGGAGGACAGTGACCGGAGGGGAGACCAAAGGGCTTCTTAGGGCGCCAGGCATGTTGTCCACTGATCTGAGTGCGAGTTACATGGATGTGCAAGTTCATCAAGCTCTACATTTATCTGCTTACAAAGCCCACAAACCCCACTAAACTATTGTGAATACTTCCCAGGGAGGTACAAGGCATGGTCCTAAATGCTGTGAAGTTCATAACACGAGATTAGGGGATGCTGAGGACTGGAGGGAGGGAAGCGTGGGGAATAACTGCTTCACAGGTACAGGGTTTTATGTCGGGGTGATGAAAATGTTTTGGAGCTAGACAGAAGTGGTGGTCGCACAACACAGTGAATGTGCTAAACGCCACTGAATCGGTCATTTATTTTATTAAAAAAAATTTTTTTAATGTTTTATTTCTGAGAGAGAGAGACAACATGAGCAGGGGAGGGTCAGAGAGAGAGGGAGACACAGAATCTGAAGCAGGCTCCAGGCTCTGAGCTAGCTGTCAGCACAGAGCCCAACGCAGGGCTCGAACCCATGAACCGTGAGATCATGACCTAAGCCAAAGTGGACGCTTAGCCGACTGAGCCACTCAGGCACCCCTGAATCGGTCATTTAAAAATGGTTAATTTTCTGTTCTGTGAATTTCATCTCAATTGAAAGATAAAATCAGTTCACTGAATGCAATGTGGTATTCTGGAGTGGATCCTGGATCCAAAAAGGCTGTTAGCAGAAAAACTGGTGGAATAAGAATAGTTTGTTATTTGGCATTTTTCCATTTTTGCAAAGGTACCATGGTTATGTAAGATGTCAACACGAGGCAAAGTTGGGTGATGATTATATGGGAACTCTCTCTACTATGCAACTTTTCTGAAAACTCAAATTGTTCCAAAATAAAGTTTATTAAAGAAAAAAAGAGAAACAGAAGGCCACAGACCACTAGACAGGATCCTGGCTTTCATAAATTAGTGGTAAGATCTTGAGCAAGTCACTTCTTTCTGATGAGCCTCAGTTTCCCATCAGCAAAAATAGGATTGGGCTGCAAAAGTAATTTTTTTAAAAAATATTTTTTAATGTTTTTATTTATTTGTGTATGAGAGAGACAGTGTGAGCAGGGGAGGGGCAGAGAGAGAGGGAGATACAGAATCTGAAGCAGGCTCCAGGCTCTGAGCTAGCTGCCAGCACAGAGCCTGATGTGGGGCTAGAACCCACGAACTGTGAGATCATGACCTGAGCTGAAGTCGGACGCTTAACCAAGCCACCCAGGCGCCCCTGCAAAAGTAGTTTTTAAAAGATTTTTAAGTTTATTTTTTTGATAGAGCGAGTGAGCATGAGTAGGGGATGGGGACAGAGTGGGAGAGAGAGAATCCCAAACAGGCTCCACACTCAGCAGGGAGCCTGACGTGGGGCTAGATAGGGACCTGGGTCTACATCAAGAGTTAGAGGCTTAACTGACTGAGCCATCTAGGTACCCTGATTTTATTTTATTTTTTAAGTAATCTCTATACACAATGTGGGGCTCGAACTTAGAACCCCAAGATCAAGAGTTGCACATTCCACTGACTGAGCCAACTAGACGTCCCTGCAAATGCAATTTTACCTGGGTAAGGATGAAAACCGTCTCAACCTCCAAATCCAGATCAGAATCTCTAGGCATGAAGGACCGTGGCTCACAAAAGATGAGATTTTTGCCTTAACCTAATAAGCAACCTTCAAAATTCAGATACAACTACAGGAATGATTAGAGTGCTTGGAAAAAACAGGTTGATAACCTCAGATTCCTCCCAGTTCTTTTAAGTAATCTCTACGCCCAGCATGGGGCTTGAACCCACCACCCGGAGCTCAAGACTCATGTGCTCTGCCAATTGAGTCAGCCAGGCACCCCTTAAGTTCTGTAGTTTTAAGTCATAGTTCCCACTCAGGAAACATAGTTTTTCTTAGGTAGTCAAAATGTGCTAACTAAAGCCAGGTGCAAGGAGCAAGGAGGTCTTTTGGGGATTCGATGACTTGGAGACTTACACAATAAAGTAGAGATGGATTGGAATAAATGGTAAGGCAATCCCTCCTTAAGTAGGTTTTGTATATGAGGTTTAAGTATGGACTTCAAAGGAAAGTGAGGAAATGGAGCATAGCTCTGTTCCAGGAAGATTCACTGGGCAGGCAATACACAGGAGAAGCCAGGGCGAGCAGAGATGAGGCACAAAACAGCTCAAAGGAAGCCACAGGAATCCAGATGGCGTTTGAGAACTTAGCGGAGTGGTGCTCTCTTCCCAAAGAAAGGATGTTTATTTTTTTTTAAATGTTTTTATTTATTTCTGAGAAAAAGAGAGAGAAAGAGAGACAGCGTGAGCAGGGGAGGGTCAGAGTGAGAGGGAGATACAGAATCCAAAGCAGGCTTCAGGCTCTGAGCTAGCTGTCAGCACAGAGCCCGATGCAGGGCTCGACCCCACAAACCGTGAGATCATGACCTGAGCTGAAGTCAGACGCTCAACTGACTGAGCCACCCAGGCGCCCTAAGAAAGGATGTTTCTTTTGTGAAGAAACCACCAGATCTAATGACTTATGGGTTGTACTTTTATGAAATGTTACTTATAAATTCAGGATTTGAAAATGTTCTGTACATTAGAGAATAATATAGCATTGTGGCTGAGATCAGGAAAGGAACAGCAGTTCCCCTTCGGAGGGTTTCAGAGTTCATACTTGAAAGCATTTAAAACAGTGCCAGACCCACAGTAGGGCCTCCATAAACGTCGGGTCACTGAGCAACTACTAAGCACGGGCTGCCCAGGAGAGCCATGAACGACTCTTGCTGTGGTTGAAGAGCAGCACCTGCTGGCCACCCAAGGCCATGAAGGATCCCATGTTTACAAAGATCTAGCCCAGTCCCCGTTCCAAGAACTCTCTGAGGCATGAACAGGGAGTCCTCCCCAAAAGCATACTATAAACAAGCAGGATGAAACAGGAGTCATCACTTTTAACAAGAATGTTCTTTATTTATACAAAGCATTATAATTTTCCTCAACCTTCTTCACTTAGTTGTCAACGAGCTTTTGACTGTATTCATTTAACAAATTAACAGTATCAAACTACATACACCTCTCTACCTGGCAACCTCCAAGCACTCAACTTAGAGACAAACAAAAAAGTGCTTGGGGCACCACATGTCAAGATAGAAAAAAAAAAAATAAGACCGATCAAGAGTTACTTTAGAAGTGGTTAAAGGGGTTGGCTTTGGAGGTGGGGATTAGATTCCTGAGCACCATCAAATTTCTGCCCTTTGGGATATTAAGCAGGTTATCAAAGTTTCTGGGTTGGCAGATGTGAGAAAAGGAGGGAGAGAGAAAGTGGAATGGGGAACGGAAGAGAGGCAGAAGAGTGACAGGAAGGCAGAAAGACAAAGTTGTGCATACAAAAAAGTTAAGTTTGGGACTTGTCAGGAATTGGAAGAATGAAAAAAACGAAAATCACAAGCTTGGGAAGCGGACTACAGGAAGAGAAAGACTGGAATTTTATACCTTCCAGGAGGTGACAATGCAGTAGCAGGCGGTGAGGTGCATCTAAGACTAAGCCATCTGTGGTTGGCTGGTTGGTTTGGGAAGAGTAAGATATTGGCACACTTGCTTGACTAATTCCACTCTACGCGGCTGCTGTAGAGCCTATCAGGCCAGATGCAGTCACCCCAGCAGGTCCAATGCCTAGCCAGCAATATAGAGGGGCTCCAAGCAACGTAGGGACCAAAATTCAATGAGTGTCACCATAAAGTGAAGAGACAACAGATTTCATTTTCCCATAGTCTTTTAGTACTTTCCTAAAGCCAAACCATTCTGAACACTTGTAATAAGCTAGTACTGCCAAATCCTGTACAATCACAACAGACTGGTCACACTCAAAGCCCCAAATCTTCCTGAGCTTTGACTGCCTCTGTGATCTGGAACACAGCAGGCAGCATGGAAGTTATTATTATTATTTTTTCGGGGAGTGGGGGTCGGAAGGGAACTGGGGATCAAAAACTGCCTAACCACATATGTAAGAAAACAAGAGAGATCAGATCGACTAATTACATTAGCCGCTCAGAATCGCTCTCTCGCCTGAAAGTCATTACCGTCAGACTGATTTAGCAAAACAGGATTCTGCTACTCAGATGCTCTGACGGAAGCGCTGGTTTGGATGATGATTCAATTGCCAGTTTTGATTTTGATCTTCTCGGGCTCTTCTGGCTAAGACTACTCTGCCCAACGGGGAAAAGCTTCTCACAAACGTACCCCAGGTCAGGGTGGTACCTTCCCATCCCATCAGTTGTCCACGTCCTCTTCTTCATTCTGTTCGTCTTCTTCCAGCCTTTCCTCGTCTTCGTCGTTGTCCTCCTCCCTGCTCTTGTCTTGCTCTTCTGAATCCGTCTTTTTGTCTTTGTCCTTCTTCTTTTGCTCTGAAGCTTCCTTCTTGCCTTTCTGCTCTCGCCTGTACGCTGTACGGAGGAAGGTGGGGGTTAGGAGGCGGGGCTGAGCCAAGCCCACCGCAGCAGCTAACTCCAGCGTATAACTGGCAAAGCCGGGGACAGAGAGGGAAGAATACCAGTCACATCTAAGGTGGTGCCAACTGAAGGGATTCTGAGGCACATCCAGCACTTGTTTCCTGTTCTTACAGGGACTCAGGGCCAGATGAGCAGGTCACACAAGACGAACATCTACTTGGCTGAGCAAAGGAGAGGGTCATTACCTTCCAGAGCTTCTTTCAACGGGGTAACGAACCGCTGGAACTCCATCTCTTCCATGGCTGAGAGCACGTCGCTGGCATTCAGGGTCTTGCGTTTCCCTTTCATCGCGAAGTTGTTGGCACTGAAACAAAATAAAAATAAAAAGACTAAAGGGCGTCAGGGGCTGTCAGACGGGGTGGGTGCAAAAGGGGCACCAGAGGCGGTACGGAAAAGACTAGGTCACAGATGCATGCGTTTTTGGTGTCATGCTAAGTCCCCCCACCCCCCCCGCCCGTAAAAAACGGTTAAAGCAAAGCAATTTTGTTGCTTTATTTTGCTTCAGCCCTCCAGAACTGGAGGAGGGCCGAGCCTCCCCTAGCGGGGGCAGGACACGATTACTGGGCTTTGTGGGCCCCAAGCCACGAACGCGGGGGGCAGGGCTCTGCGGCTCCCCGACGCCCCAGCCCCAGCTAGGTTGTGGCTAGCTCCGGCTGCCTCACCAGGAAGTGGCGTACAGCACGAAGACGCTGGCGGCGCGGGAGATGGCGCTGCGGGCCTCCTTGGAGATGTTGACACCGTCCGGGAGCTGGAAAAAGAACGTGGGTGAGTAAGGCTGCCGACCCAGGACCTGCTTCCTCTGCCGCCCGCTCGTCCGCCCCTGGCCCATCCATCCGCCGAAGCTGCTCACCGCCTCCTTGATGATCCTGGTGATGACGGCATTGGGTAGGTTTAGGTCCTCGGGCCTCTCCGCCATTGCGGCCACCGGGGCCCGCGCCGCGGTCTCAAGCCTCTTCTTCAGGCCGCTACGGCGTCCGGACTTCCCGCGTCGCCACAGTCTGACCCAAAGAGGCTTCCGTCCCGCCTCACGTTGCTCACACGGTGTCCCACAGTGCCCCGCGCGCCATTGCGTTCCTCCTCACCCAGCCCCGCCTCCGCCTCGATTCGTCCGAGCATCTGAACTTTCCACGCCGCTACGGTTTTGGCCTGCCCGGGCTTCCGTCCGACCCCACCGGGACTCAGTGCCCCTTCCCATTCTCGTTTCCTTGCTTCACGCCGCCACCACGTCTGGAGACGTCTCATCAGATCAAGTATGGCTCACTGGAGCTTCCGTCCCTTCCCCACAGTGCTCTGCGCTGCTGCCTGGCAACGGCGCTGGCTGGCGGCTAGAGTGGGAGACGGAGGCGTGGACTGAGTGGACGGGGCGGGGCTCCTTCCAACGGAAGGCGGGGCCTGGTGGGCGGGCCCCGCCTCTTCCACCGGGTCTCAAGAGGGGTCCGGTTTTCGGAGTGCTCTGGGGCTTCCAGGCGGTTCCGTGTGGCGTTTGGTAGCGCGGCGCTCAGAGGCCAGACTCTCCCACTTCCCTTTCGCGGAACGAAGCGGGTATCTGTTTTCACTTCTATGGGACCTGAAGTCCATCGTTAATCTTTTCACCCGTTCCAACTTTGTAATAATCGCATTAAGGTTGTTTGTCGCCTACAATTGTTGAACGCAGACTCCTTTGCCAGTACAGCGCTAACGCTGGCGACATAGAAATGGGCGTAACTAGACTTTAGGTCTCAGTTAGGGCTTGTCAGGCAATGAAAGGGCAGCAAGCAGCCGGTTGTAAGAATAACGCGACATTGCACTCCCTTCAAAACCAAATCCTGTTAAACTTGTATTTATTTTTTAGTTCACTGAATTGTGGACCACACCTCTTTCCCAGTCAAAAACATTACCATGATTTTGCAGTTTTTAAGTTGTATCATTTTCGTATTATGTACGTAGAAACTGTCCTTGTTCCCACTGAACACAAATGCTCTTTAATTTTTTTTTTAAGGTTTTATTTGAGAGAGAGAGAGAGAGAGCATGAGCAAAGGAGGGTCAGAGAGAGAGGGAGATACAGAATCAAGCAGGCTCCAGGCTTTGAGCTGTCCGCACAGAGCCCGACGCAGGGCTCGACCCCACAAACCGTGAGATCATGACCTGAGCCGAAGTCAGACGCGTAACCGACTGAGCCACCCAGGCCCCCCCCCCCTTTTTTTTTCTTGAAACATGTTCTCATGTCACAGCTTCATGGCCATGCTTTAAATTTTTTTTGAATAATCTCTGCAGGCAACCTAGGGCTCAAACTCAGGTTGGAAGATCAAGAGTCACATGTTCGACTGACCTAGCCAGCCAGACATCCCAATTTTCCAGCTTTGACAGAGACATGAGTGCGGAGATACACTTCCTTTTTGTGAGAGAAACGAGCAAATGCAACGAAAAATAGCGTTAGTTAAAGATTATAGGGTTTGGTGGCGGGACTTGCCATCTGGATAGAACAGGTCTGATTTAAAGCCACCAGGAGATGCTTAGCTCCACCCAATTGCTATCTAGTCAGAATCAGGGACCACCGTGCTGTGAAATAGTTTGATTTTTAAGAGGAACCAGAAAGCTGAACGTTGTGGACTATTTCCATCAAAAAAAAAAAAAAAAAAAGAAAGGCTCAAAGTGCAGGCCAGACAAAACAAGTCATGGGACAGGTGTGATCTCATGCCAATAGTCGGCTATCTTTGGTCTAATTTATAGGCTCTTTAGAACAGGGACTTATTTTGTTCATTACTGTCCTCTATGCCTGTAACAGGTCCCGTCACAGATTTGATAGTCAATAAATGTGTTGAATAAAAGGAATTGTCCTTACAAAGTTAGTAGGTACCAGGAGGTAGTGATGGCCTAAAATATTTCTGGAGAGAGAAAGATGATACTATTTATTGAGCTTCTATTATATATGAGACATAAAAGTACATTTCCTTTAATGCTCTTCAATCCTACTTCGGAATTTCCCATCCCCACTCTATATGAGGAAGCAAGCTGAGAGAGGCAAAGTCACTTGCCTTGGACCATACAACCAGTAAATGAAAAGCCAGAGGCCTCTACTCTTTTGTTGTTTGAGTAAACCCACTCATTTCTGGTGGGTGTTTTAGTTGCCTGTGTGAGAATGGGAGCAGGTTGAAAAATGAAGCACGTTTTTAAAGGTTCAAGCCATCTAAAGCCATCTCAAGCACTTCGGTGACTGTCTTAGTTCTCATCTGATGAGACATTTTGTTTGGAGATGGTGGTGTCTTCTCCCTAATGATTAATGAAAGGGAAAGGGAAAGGATACTAATACTTATTTTGAGCTACATGCCAGACTTTTTATTTATTTATGTTTTAATTTTTTTATTTTTTTATTTTTGAGGGAAGGAGAGTGAGTGGGGTGGGGGCAGAGAGAGAGGGAGACAGAGGATCCAAAGGAGGCTCTTTGCTAACAGCAGAGAGCTCAGACTCACGAACTGTGAGATCATGACCTGAGCTGAAGTTGGATGCTTAATTGAGCTACCCAGGCACCCTGCCAGATCTTTTAATATCCATTAACTAATTTTCATAATGACCCTGTGAAATAGGCTTATCCTCATTTTACAGATAAAGAACCTGAACCTCACATTGCTTAAGTGCCAGGTCACTCAGCTACTAAGTGGTCAAGTAGGAGACGTGCCGAAGTCAGTCTGCTCCAAAAACTCTTGCCCTTCTATTTCATGTTGAGCCATTTTCATACTTGTCTGTTAGCCAGTCTTCTTTCTAAAAAATTTTAATTCTAGAATAGTTAACATACAGTGTTATATTAGTTTCTATTAGTTATATTAGTGTTATATTAGGTGTACAATATGGTGATTCAACAATTCTATACATTTCTCAGTGCTCGTCACAATATACTCTTAGTCCCTTTTACCTATTTCACCCTTCCCCCTATCCACCTCCCCTCTGGTAACCATCAGTTTGTTCTCTACAGATAAGAGCTGCTTTTTTGGTTTGTGTCTTTTTTCCCCCTTTGTTCATTTGTTTTGTTTCTTAAATTCCATGTGTAAGTAAAATCACATGGTACTTGTCTCTGACTTATTCGGCTCTCTGAGCATTATAGTCTCTAGATCCATCCATGTTGTTACAAATGGCAAGATTTCATTCATTTTTTAAAAATATTTTTTTAATGTTTTATTTATTTCTGAGAGAGAGAGAGAGCATGAGCAGGGGAGGGTCAGAGAGAGAGGGAGATACAGAATCCGAAGCAGGCTCCAGGCTCTGAGCTAGCTGTCAGCACAGAGCCCAACACAGGGTTCGAACTCACGAACCGTGAGATCATGACCTGAGCTGAAGTTGGACGCTTAACCGACTGAGTCACCCAGGCACCCCTCATTCATTTTTTAAAAAGTGTTTATATATTTTGAGAGACAGAGATCAAGTTGGGTTGGGGCAGAGAGAGAAGGAGCAAGAGAATCCCAAGCAAGCATCATGCTGTCAGTGCAGAGCCTGATGCAGGAACTGTGAGATCATGATCTCAGCTGAAATCAAGAGTCAGATGTGTAACTGACTGAGCCCCTTATTCTTTTTTTTTTTAATCCCAATTCTTTTTTTTTAATTTTTAAAAATGTTTATTCATTTTTGAGAGAGAGAGAGACAGCCAGCACACAAGCAGGGGAGGAGCAGAGAGAGAGGGAGACACAGAAACCAAAGCAGGCTCCGGGCTCTGAGCTGTCAGCACAGAGCCTGGTGCGGGATTCGAACTCACGAGCTGAGCCAAAGCCGGATGCTTAACCGACTGAGCCACCCAGGCACCCCACTTGCTACCCAATTCTTAACTATCCTGTGACCATCATTTATGTATATGGTTCAATAGAAATATTTTACGCTTTGAGTCTAAAGATCTGGACCACATGGCTAATGTATAATATGCTCTAATTATGTGCTTGTTGTCACCCTAGAGGGCTAGAAAGCTGTACAATTGGCTTTTGTCCTAAACTGTCTGTAGCTATGGACTTGCCTGATGAAAGCCAGTGGGATGAAACCACCTGCAAAATGGCTGTTTGTCAGCATCCACAATGCTGGGCAACAATCCGCCGGGTTGAGAGGGGCCACCCTCGAATCCTAGGCTCTCCCTGCAAAACAGCTCCGAACAATGAAGGTGAGTTTAGTCAGCCCTGCTTCTTCCTTATAAGATCTTCGAACTATTTCCATTTGGCTCCCTTTTGACATATTACATGTTTTCTTTTTTCTCAGACAAATCCCCAGTGCTCACCATTGTAAACATCTCAGATGTCTGCTTCCCGACTAGGGGACTTGCTTGTGGCCATTTATCAGGATTTACCTTCACCAGAGCTCCCACTTTATTGTGTCAAGGTTCAAAGTTTGACTCCAAATTTCAAGACAGGTAAATTGTCATGGAATCTTCCCTTATGAGCCTACCATCTCAAAATTCTGGGTTGACTTCCTTTACCTGTGTAGTAGACTCTGAGAAAGCTGGACTAAAAATAAAACACCAGTTTGGGGCACCTGGGTGGCTCCAGGCTCTGAGCCTGCTTCGGATTCTGTGTCTTCCTCTCTCTCTCTCTGTCCCTCCCCAGCTCAGGCTCGCTCTCGCTGTCTCTCTCTCTCTTCCCCTCTCAAAAATAAATAGATTAACTTAAAAAAAAAACAAAACACTAGTTCAGTTAGAGAAATGGTGAATAGGCAGTGGGAAACAAAAGGAAAGCTTTATTTGTATTGTAGGAATTGGTTAAAATAGGGTTATATTAATTTGCTAAGGTCACTGTCACAAAATACCCTAGGCTATGTGGCTTAAACAACACAAATATATATATATATTTTTTTAAGTCGAGAGGCTAGAAGTCCAAGATTAAGGTGTTTGTAGAGTTGTTTTCTTCTGAACCCTTTCTTCTTGGCTTGTAGGTAGCTTATGTCTTTTTTTTTTTTAATGTTTATTTTATTTTTAATTTTTTAAGAGTTTTTATTTATTTATGAGAGAGAGAGAGACAGCATGATCAGGGGAGGGTCAGAGAGAGAGGGAGACACAGAATCTGAAGCAGGCTTCAGGCTCTGAGCTAGCTGTCAGCACAGAGCCCAACGCAGGGCTCGAACCCACAAACGGTGAGATCGTGACCTGAGCCGAAGTCGGACGCTTAACCGACTGAGCCACTCAGGTGCCCCTTGATGTTTATTTTTGAGAGAGAGACGACATCAGTGGGAAGGGCCAGAGAGGGGGAGACACAGAATCTGAGGTAGTCTCCAGCTCTGAGATGTCAGCACAGAGCCCAACGCGAGGTTTGAACTCACAAAATGTGAGACCATGACCTGAGCTGAAGTCGGACCATCTAACCGGCTGAGCCACCTAGATGCTCCTAGGTGGGCTGTTTTTTTTTTTTTTTTAATTTTTTTTAATGTTTTATTTATTTCTAGGAGAGAGAGAGAGAGACAGCGTGAGCAGGGGAGGGTCAGAGAGAGAGGGAGACACAGAATCTGAAACAGGCTACAGGCTCTGAGCTGGCAGTCAGCACAGAGCCCGACGCGGGGCACGAACCCACGAACCGCGAGATCATGACCTAAGCGAAAGTCGGATGCTTAACCGACTAAGCCACCCAGGCGCCCCCTAGGTGGGCTGTTTCTTAACAGGACCTTTCTTCTGTGTGTCTTTGTCACAATTCCTTTTTCTTCTTCTTTAATTAAGTGCTTAATTTTAATTCCAATATAGTTAATAACCTTGTTATATTAGTTACAGGTGTACAATATACTGATTCAACAATTCCGTGCATTACTCAGTGCTTATCATGATAAGTGTACTCTTAATCCCCTAACTTCCTTTTCTTTAACAATTAAAAAAAAATTTTTTAAATTTATTTCTGAGAGAGAGAGAGAGAGAGAAAGAGAGAGAGACAGCATGAGTAGGGGAGGGTCAGAGAGAGAGGGAGATATAGAATCTGAAGCAGGCTTCAGGCTCTGAACTGGCTGTCAGCAGAGAGCCTGACACAGGGCTCGAACCCACGAACTGTGAGATCATGCCCTGAGCCAAAGTTGGACGCTTAACCAACTGAGCCACCCAGGTGCCCCTCCTTTTTTTGATAAGAGCACCAGTCATCTTGGATTAGGACCTGTCTGTATGACCTCACTTTGCCTTAATTACTTCCTTAAAAACCCTGTCTCCAAGTATTGAGGGACTCAAATTCTGGAGTAATTGAGGGTTAGGATTCAACCTAAGAATTTGACGGCACAGTTCAGGCCACCACAGGGAGTACCTCGTCAGCCTCTGCAGGTCATCAGAAAACTGTACACACACGCTCTCTTTCTTATCTTTTGTTTTTAGGAATGAAACAATTTGTAAGCTCATGAAGGAAGAAGCAATAGTTTCCTTTTGAATTGCCCACAGGGTCTAGGCACCCAATTAGTGCTTGCGGATACGGGAAGCTAAGGGACAGACATCTGTGGAAAACTTAGACTTGTAAAATTCGAAACTTTTATGGCCTGGAATCAAGGCACTGCTGGTGGTCCTTGTATGGGCACCTTTTCTTCTGTTTGATGTAATCAGCCTTTGGTGGCTTCTGGTAGGCTAAACACAGTACAGGAAAGGATAGGACTACTTTCTGGTTCTCTAGGACTTCAACCTCCGGAAGAAGATGGCTTTTCCCAGCCAGGGTCTGTGAAGGCAAAGGCTATGACATCACTTACGTAGTCATTCATTTAATTCACAAAAATATCTTAGTAGGGGTCACTCTGCTGGGCTCTGGGGATTCAGTGGTAAACAAGATACAGTATTTTTTTAAAAGTTTTATTTATTTTTGAGGGGGGGAGGAGCCGAGAGAGGGGGAACAGAGGATCCGAAGCAGGCTTTGTGCTGACAGCAGTGAGCTGGGCTTGAACTCATGAACTGTGAGATCATGACCTAAGCTGGACATTCAACCGACAGAGCCACCCAGGCGCCCCAATAAGATCCGGTCTTGACTCCTCAAGGGCTTTCAGCCTAGCCGGGGAGGCAGAGAACCGTTCCGTGTGCCGGGAGTGCTGAGGGTAGCACCCCGGGGGTGTGGAAGCACACAGGGCTGGTTCCTCAGGGCACTGTCTTCTGTGGCACCTGTGCCTTCAGCCGAAATTTGGACAGTCTGGTGAAGTGGGGGTTGCATGTGGGAGTGGGCGTGAAGAGAGTTCTGGACTACAGAAATAGCATATCCAAAGGCCTGGAGGCAAGAGGAAGATCTTTAGGTAGGAGGAAAAGAGTCCATTGTGGGTGGAACATGGAGCAGGAATGGGAGAGTGGGCAGAGGTGAGGCTAGGGAGCTGGAGAGCAGACAGCGGCCAACATCACATAAATCCAGCTAAGGTGCTGGGTCTTTATCTTACACTTCCTTGGAATATTTATTCGTTCGTATACTTCACATGTGTTTTAAAAAATAAATATAATGCAAGTGACATGAAAATGTAAGGGGGCAGTATTCTTTTTTTTTGTGGTAAATACGCATTATGTAAATTTACCATCTTAATTGTTTTTAAGTGTACAGTTCACTGGCATTAAGTACATTCACAATGTTGTGCAACCATCACAACTATCCATTTCTAGAACTTTTTAATCATCTCAAACAGGAACTCCATACCCATTAAACAGCAACTCCCCATTGCGTCCTCCCTCCGGCTCCTGTTAACGTCTATTCTGCTTTCCTTCTGTATGAGTTCGCCTACTCTAGGGACCTCAGATAAGTGGAATCCTACAAGATTTGTCCTTCCGCATCTAGCTTATTTCACTTAGCATAATGGCTTCAGGATTCATCTATGTTGGGGCGTGTGTCAGAAGTGCATTCCTTATTGAGGCTGGAAAATATTCCTTTGTACATAAAGACCCCATTTTGCTTACTTAACGTGCTTTGAACATCGACATCAACTCAGTCAACTTTTATTGATGGCGACCTAACTCTCTGGTTGGAAAGAGGGACGCATAGGCTCTGAATTCAGTTTGATTCAGCAAACAGAGGTGAAGTGATTGCAGTGTGCAATGTCTGGGAGCTGTTCCAGAACAAAGAAGCGAACACAACTTAAGGAAATAGGGAGGCCCTGCATTCATTTGGTAAGTGCTAAGCCCCAAGGTTTTCTGTGGATGAGCAGAAGGCTTTTCCTCATAGCGCTACCTGTTGTCCTGTAAGTCATTTGTGTCTCTGTGTCATGTTTGGAAACTCTTATTTTTTAGGCCTCGGAAGGCTCTACCTGCCAAAGATTTAACTCACTGTACTGACAGGTCTCCTAAAGTAAGTCATGGCCTTAAGAAGGTACTCCCCCAGTATTTTCTCTTTACTAGTGGGGATAAAATATGTGTCTTTATTTAACATTGAGGGTGACTAGAATCTGAAGAATGACAATGATAACTAACTCATATTGGGCCCTTAATATAGCTAGGCTCTGTGCTAATGCCTTTACATACTATACTGGTTCCAGAAATCGCAGACACAGGTGGGATTGATCTGGCACAGGTAAGACTTCCCTGCCTGTGTCCTGCATAGAACATGTTCAGCTACGATGTAAACCCTGTCATCTCATAGTACGGGGAAATGAAAATGCTGCAATGTCACACCTAAAATGGGCCTTTAGGTCATCTCCTCTGATAACTGTCAAACTTTTTTTAGCTATGACCTCCAGTAAGAAATAAGTTTTGCACAAAATAGCACAAAACAAGCCTTACCCTAACAGTGAGCGATGGTCTCTGAAATTTTCTGTCCTATTCTATCTTATTCTCTTTTTAAAATTTATTTATTTTGAGAGAGAGGGAGAGCACACGCAGACGGGCGTGAGGAGAGGGAGAGAGAGAATCCCAAGCAGGTCCGGAGCTGTCAGTACGCAGGGAATGCTACCCTAATGTCACGGGGAGGTGGGGGGACCATTTGTTTAAACGTGCACGCTCTTGCAGAGTACCCATACTGGTGTCCGGTTTCTTGAGGCCATGTTATAAAGACGACTTAGGGATGAGAAATGTCTTCTTGTTATCTTCCGCGCCACATGCCCTTTAGGTTAGTGTGATAAGTCAGTTCTTAGGCCAGTTCGGAATGCCGGTGGGAGCTTGTACCTTCAAGCCATAAGGAGGCTTCACATGTTTCTCAGCTTTCAGTGCTGAATTTGAATGAGACACAACTTCCCAGCTCTCAAGATGCTAGAAATATGGTTGTCGTCTGGATCCCAGAACAACCAGAGAAGCATGTGAGGTGAGTGTCGTGTCCAGAACATGGGGGCCCTCAACTCTTGTGTGCTGCAAGTCCCCGCTGCCCTGCACAGGCCTCATTTACGTGATCTCCTAGTCAGCCACCTCAGTGAAAGTGTGCAAGTATCAGGAGGGCACGTAGAAAAGAAGGTCACGGTCTCTTGTATTTGCTTCTTGCTCCACTGGGGTTCTACTTAACGCACTTTGTGCTTCATGCTGGGGGGCTTCTCTCCATCAAATCATGGCCGTCAGTAGCACACAAGATAGAGCCCAGTGTGTTTGTGGGGTCTAAGAGACAGATGCTTCCTGATTATCTGTTTTTCTTATTAGTTGTCCCCAGCTAGTGAAAATGTTTTCAGTGATGCACATGCATGTTTGGTCTCAGCCCCAAGGCCCAGCACCGTGGCGCAAGTGGACAGCAGGTGGAACCTATGCACAAAGCCAAAGGATCATTTGGTGAAGGCCCAAAGGCTTGCCAATGCCAGTGACCATTGGAAGACAGTGTTTGGTTTTTCTTTCATGAGTGCTGCTTTCAGATCCTTGTTAAGTGACTGTTTAGATATGATGTGACTTAAGAATTTCTTTTTATTTCATTTTTCTTCTTTTTTTCTTTTTTAACATCAGATGGGTAACGTGCTGAGGTTGTAAGAAGTTTTGAGGGAGGCACATGTCACACAACAATGTGAACTCCCATGCTGATGAACTACAAAAGGATCTCATTCTCTTTCCTTTTTCTTTAAAGTTTATTAAAAAACTTTTTAAATGTTTATTTTATTATTTTTGAGAGAGAGAAAGAGAGACAGAGCATGAGCAGGGGAGGGGCAAAGAGCAAGAGGGAGACACAGAATCTCAAACCCGACACAAGGCTTGAAGTTGGGAACAGTTGAGATCATGACCTGAGCTGAAGTTGGAAGCTTAACCAACTGAGCCACCCAGGTGCCCCTGTTTATTTATTTTGATAGAGTGCACATGGGAGGGCCAGAGGGAGCAAGAGAGAGAGAGGGAGAATCCCAAACAGGCTCTGCACTGTCAGCACGGAGCCTGATGCAGGGCTCGAACTCATGAACTGTGAGATCACGACTGAGCTGAAATCAAGAGTCAGAGGCTTAACAGACTGAGTCACCCAGGAGCCCTTCTTTGTCTTTTTAAAAAATGATCCTGTCAGTGCTTCTGCATATATGCATGTGTGTGTGTGTGTGATGTAAACAAAAGACCACTAAGGGTTTATTTCCTTTTATGTAGAAAAAAAAAAGCCCAGATGTGGGTGGGCCCGGGCTAGTATGTCAGCTCTATGAGGTGATCGGAAATCGGAGCTCTTTCTGGCTCTATGGTTGTCATCCTTGGCCCATGGGTTTCCTTTTCTAAGGTGCTTCATGGGGGCTTTTACGGTCTAAGGTGACTGCTAGAGCTCCAGCCATCATATCCGTGTTCCAGGCAAGGAGGAAGAAGACGACGGAGCAAAAAATCCTTGAGCACCACCTCTGTGCTAAGCAGTGAGAATTCCGTGAAGAACCCAACAGACTTTGGTCGTTGACCTCCTACAGTCTTAGGGTGGTAGCGGGGGATTCAGACCTTACGCACATCACCACACCTAAGTACTAATTTGGATGAATGCTATGAAGTCAAATAACAGGACCATAGGAGAGAATAGTAGGGAACCTCATTTAGGTGTGAGGTTAGGTCTTGTTTTTAGCAGCTTCTGGGTCGTTGGTCCCTTGGGACTTCTAGCCAGCCGTCTTCGAGTACTGAAGAGAGGATGGAAATCCTCGTGGTCACCATTCAGAGACACCCGCGGTGCTTCTGTCTGACATGGCTGGGACTAAGTCGTGGTTTCTCTCGTTTCAAGACCAGCTGAGAAGCGCACTGTGTCCAGGCAGGATGGCCAAGTGAGCCGTGCAGCTGTAAGTGGGCAGTTTTGGTTAAACCTTTATGATGTTTCTCTGTAGAGTTTTGGTGGTTTTATTTCATTTTTCCTTTCAACTATCTTCCCCCTTTCCCTGTTCTTTTTAAATGAACGAAACCTGCAAAAGAAAACCCCTTTTAAGGAATAATTACCAGAGCATTTTCTGTTCAGAAACCCTCTTCCCTACTTCCTCCTTGTAGTAGGGTGAAGAGTACCTTGAACAGAAGTTAGGAGGAAGTGTTGAGTATTCAGGGGGAATTTCTAGCCAATTAAAGACAAATTCCCAGTGTGATAAAAAGAACATCAGTGGATGAGGATTTATAATGGACTTGAGTTTCTCATTCTCATGCCACCACTGACGAATAAATGTAACCTCAAGTAAGCCACAGAGCTGGAAGATTCCTACATCCGGGAGAGGATGTCTTAGTCTATTTTGTTCACTGCTCAGTCCCCAGGCTTAGCCCAGTGCCTGGCACATCGTTGGCCAATAAATAGTTGTTCAGTTTGCTCAGTGAGTGAATTAATAACCTTTTGGGAAAAAGAAAACAAACCAAAACAACTAGTCCCTGTATGATCTGAATTCAGCAATGGGGTGGGGAGCCTGGGAGGGAAGGTACGGTGGCCCTCGCAGTGCAGAGGAGGGGGGTGCTGCTGGAGTGGGTGTGTAGTGAGGAGTTTGGCTTGCCAGGGTTGTGTCCGGGAGGCTGCGATGTTGACCGGAAGGAGTGGCGCTGAAGAGAGGGCTTCACCTTCACTGTTGCTTTTCTAGAACGACCATTTTCTCAATGGAAAGCAGAATACAGAAACACAGCTGGGACCTCCCCGGATGACCGTGCCTCCCCCCTCGCCAGTGCACCTTTTTAAGCAACTGACTTCACGGTTCATTCCTTTCTGGAACCAATTTGACATGGAACCAATACCTCAGCATCTGTTGAAGGAGTGAGTATCATGTAAGCCTGTGGGAGAGCCAGAGCGCCTGCCCTTCTCTCAGGTGGAGGAGGGGCTAAGTAGCGTGCTCATTCTGAGTAAGGAGAACAACGTCCCCTTGCGTTTGGTGAGTTCTTAGACTTACCAGTGTGCCACCATTTGCCAAATACTTACCACCTGCCAGGCCCTGTGCTAAATAATTATGTATGTTCTCTCACTTGAACCTCCATGAGAACTGTTACTCTGTTCTTCTAACTTAAGACATGTTTTTAAATGTTTGTTTCTGAGAGAGACAGAGCACGAGTGGGGGAGGGGCAGAGAGAGAGGGAGACACAGAATCTGAATCAAGCTCCAGGCTCTGAGCTGTCAGCGCAGAGCCCGACACGGGGCTCAAATTCATGAACTGTGAGATCATGACCTGAGCTGAAGTCGGACACTTAACCGACTGAGCCACCCAGGCGCCCCTCTTTTTTGTTGTTTTTAAAGTAAGCTCTATGGCCACTGTGAGGCTTGAACTCATGGCCCGTAGCTCAGGAGTTGTCTGCTCCGTGGACTGAGCCTGCCAGGTGCTTCCACTCTCTTCTTTCTGTAGATGAGTTCTAGGTAAGTGGGAGGCAGAGGGGAAATGTGGTCTGGAGTGACACAGCCTTTAGGTTTTGCATTGAAACTTCCTGGTTTTATGCATTTTGGTAATTTATCTAGCATCTTTACAGTTCATTCCCTTATTTGCAAAATGAGGATAAGCATGCCTGTCCTCAGGGAGCTGAAAACACCTGCTGGTACAGGACTTTTCAGGCCCAAAGTGTAACTTTATGCAGATTTGGAGCCCTCTTCATCTCTGTCTCCTCAGCCACAACCTCCAGGAGGAATTGTTGCTGACTGTTGGCTGTCTCTGTGTCTCTGTCCCCTTCAGCCTTTTGCCTGATGAAGGGAAAAGCAGGCCTTCTCTGGAGATGAAGAAGAAACTTCCCCTGGAAAAGAGCCGACCCGACAGTGCCATTTCTGCTGAGATGTTTTTATCTGTCCACCGCCTCACCCTGCATGTAAGAGCGAGGGAGCCTCAGAGAAGGGTGTCTACATGCAAATCCAGACTCAGTTCTTTTCAAGGCTGGAGGAGGTGACTTTCTATCTCTTCTTTCCCTCTATCCTTCCATGCTGGACTCAAGCCTCACAGAAGGGCTGGGCTATATGTAGGTGAGAGCAAATGTATGGGGAGGGGCTTGAGGACAGCAACAGTCTCTCTTTCTTCTGCACTTCCGCACTCTTTCCTCCCCCCATAGCTCCTCTGTAATTTTGCAGCCACCGGGTTCTCAAAAAGCCCCTGTTGGCTAGACGGGTGTCTGCATTTGAGAGGTACATTTTGGGAAAAGGAAAGACCTTCAGTAGAGCTCCTCTTCTTTTTCTTCTTCTTCCTCTTCCCCTTCCCCACCTCTTCCCTTTCCCTATCCCCCCACCCCTCCCCCTTCCTCTCCTCCCCCTTCCCCTCCCCCTTCCCCTCCTCCTTCCCCTCCTCCTTTCCCTCCTCTTTCAGCACCTCCTCTTCCATCTCCCCCATCTCCTCCATCTCCTTCTTCTCCATCTCCTCCTCCTCCTTCTCTTCCTCTTTTTCCTCCTTCACCTTCTTCTCCTCTTTTACCTTCTTCTCCTTCCCCTCCTCCTCCTTCCCCTCCTCTTCCTTCTCCTCCTCATTCTTCTCCTCTCCTCCTCTCTTCCTCTTCTTCTTTTTCTTCTTTTCCTTCTTTTTCTCTCCAGAGACCAGCATTGAGATACCCTAAACATTTGAAGAAATTGTCTTCTAACCTGAACACAGAAGGTAGATTTTCTGGTGCCCTAAGATCCTCAGGTACTGTTCCCTCTCAGCTCACGGTGCTTATCCCTGACCTTGATCCCAGCTTTGTTATGTTTGTGTCCAGAGTCTTACAGGAATCACGCGTAGAACTCAGGACACCGCAGTTTCAGAAAGCAGCCCCCCTGGCACAGATGGCTTGGTTCTGAGAGAGAGGCTGTCACCTTTGTGGGGCAGGGCAGGGCAGGGCACGCAGCCGCGGGAGGGTGGGAGGTGTCGGTGAGAAGAGGACTGAGCCGGCGCTCCGCTCACCAGGTCACCAGAAGCGGCAGCGGCAGCAGAAGCAGCAGCGGAGGATGGTGAAAACGCCACCTGAGAGACAGGTAGGGGGCAGTGAGGGGCGCCCCCCGCACTGGCTGGGCCTGGGGCAGAGGCGCAGCCTGGGACCGGGAGGGCTGTATGAGGTTATCGGGCTCCCCGTTCTCTGTCTGGTTGTAGATACAGAGTTCCAGTCTGGCTGCAGATATTAACTTCCTTCTTTCAGACCCTTTCTGAAACATTTTCTTCACTTCCGAAGGTCCTAATTCAGTTCCTCCTCATGTGGGTTTCAGGAGGCTAAAAAGAAACCCAAGAGTGATCCAGGGAGCCCGGACATTTTGCATAAATGTTCAGGTACTGTGGTTTATGGCCCATGCTGTGGTAAGGAGAATGTGGCTTTGGGAGGGATGGAATCTCAGGATGTAGCCGAGGGCAGGAAAACTGAACTTGTCCGTTATCTTGGGACCTTTGTCAAGCATTCACAATTCTTCTTGGAGCGTTTTGGCTTGACTGGGCTACCGTACATCATCCTTCCATCAGATATTTACTAGGGAAGCAAGCTGGGCCAGATGTCTGCTTCACGTGGGCCTTTGAGGGATGACCATGAGCATGAGTCAGAGGCATTTTCCCTCACGTCTTACTTTAGAAAAGGCAGAGTGATTTGAGGATGGAGAGCACGCAATGAGGCAGGAAGGAGCCAGGGCTCCTGGTTAGCCCCAGGAGGGTCCTAAGGAAGCAAGACTCCAGGGCCCTCCGCTTGCCAGATGCAGGTTAGTTCCTGGAGGCCCCGGTTGAGAGCGGCACACTGTCTAGCCCCCCAGGAGGCAAGTAGCCAACTCTTGAGAGACGATTCTTTTCCGCTGGTGTTCATGTGGGACACGAGAATAGGTACCTCTCCCTTTTTTGGAGTCCTTATCACCCGTCTGAGCTGAAGGATATACTTACCCTGGTGCCTCTGACATTGCTCAGTTTGAGTGCAGAAAAAAGAAAGAAGAGGAGGGAGAAAGTATGACCCTCAACCTTAGAAGATTCTTGTGCCCTGTTAAGACTGGACATCGCTGACTGTCTCATCAGAGTTTGCTCTCCAGCCCTGGGGCAGAGGGAGGGCTCAGAGGGGCTGTGTCCTGAGAAGAATGCTGCCCCCTCTCGGTTTGTTTCCCATCCCGTTGAGCTCTCAGATGCCAACAGTAGCCTCTGACCTGAAGACCTAAGAAGCTTCCTGACCTTCATGTGGGACATAGACAGAAGTAGGGCTGTTGCCCAGGTGGAGGCTGACTGGTCCAAGGTTAGCTTCCCATCCGGGGTGATCATAACTCCCTTGAATTCATTTAAGTGCCTTTTGTTCCTCTCCCTGATGCCTCCAATAGGTGACTAGGGTGCTGTTTTTCTTTTTTTAAGTAGGCTTCACACCCAGCATGGAGCCCAGTGTGGGGCTTGAACTCACAACCCTAAAATCAAGACCTGAGCTACCCAGGTGCCCCTGTGCTTAGAGCAGTGGCCTGTCCTCACTGAGTTGAGAAAGATTTATGGAAGAGTCGATTTTTGCACTGGATCTTGAATGTGTGAGAGGTTCCCTGATATGAAAGAGAATTCCCAGAAGTGGGAATTGCTTTAGCAGAGGCGTCTTGCAGGAGCGTGGCTACTCAGGGAACACAACAGTCCATCGTGGCTGCCAGTGATTTGAGAGAGTGGTGGAATATTGGGCTGAAGAGGTAGGTGGGAGCCTGTGTAGCCTGTTAAGGTGTTTGGCCTTTGCTACTGGTCACAGTGCTCCCCCTTGACTGCACACTGAGATCAACTGAGGGGCTTTTAAATCTCAAATACCCAGGATGCACCACAGACCTACTGAGTCAGAAGTTCTGGTGTTGGGACCCGGGCCTCAGTAAGTAGAGCTCCCAGTACTTCCAGTGTGCAGCTAGGGTGAGAGCCAGTGCAGGCGGGGAACCAACCAGCATTAAGCAGGGGAGCTCCTTGACTGGCTTTGCCTTTTAGCCTAACGTCTCTGGTGGCAGCTTGGAAGATGTTCATCTAGAGGAAGGGAAGTGAGAAAGGAAAGGGCGAATGCATTTAGGATTAGTTGTGGAAACAGCTGATAGGGACTAGATGGGGAAACAGCTGATGTTGAAGAACCTTAGGACTAGAGCTTTTGGAAGGGAAGAGTTCCATTTTTAGAAGCGAATAGGGGGACATTAGGGTTGGTGCCAGAAGGTAAGAGGAGTATTCATCAACTGAAAGCATAGGGATAGGGTTTCTTTTGCTGCTGAGATGTGCAGGTACCAGCCCCTTAGGTTTCTTGGAGGAACCCTAAGTCTTTCAACATACACTTGACCTTAATCTCTAATTCTGTAATAGATGTGGTCACAGTCCCAGGTGAACTCAGAGGCCGAACTCCCTTCCACCTCCTCTAACCTGTCTTGCCCTAGATGGGGAGTCACTTGTAGATTAGGGGTCACCTGGAAGCCCCACAATGGGATATGAAATACCAATAAGAAGAGAACTGAACTGGCTTTGTGGTCACTAGGTTGCAGAACTCCACCAGATTGGAAAAGTGACAATAAGCAGCCACAGTGGATGAAGTTAGAAGATCCCACCTTGAAGCCGGTAAGAGTAGAGGAGCCATTCTGCCAGGGTCCTGGCTCAGTTCCCTGTTACTGTACAACAGACCACCTCAAAGCTAAAACTGCAGTGCTTGACCACTTCTCATGATTCCGAGGGTTGGCCGGACGATTTTTCTGATGTTGCTTGATGTCCCTCACTGTGGCTGCTTTCAGCCAGTGGCTGGGGTGGGGCTTTTGGCCAAATTGCCTTAGTTCTCTTCCATGAGGCCTCTCCATCGTGGCTCATTTGGGCTTCTTGACAGTATAGTAATCTCATGCAAGCACTTTCTTTTCTTTTTTCTTTTTTTTTAATTTTTAAAATGTTTATTTACTTTTGAGAGAGCAAGCGAGCAAGTGAGCAGGGGAGGGTCAGAGAAAGCAGGAGACACAGAATCTGAAGCAGGCTCCAGGCTCTGAGCTGACAGCAGAGAGCCTGATGTGAGGCTCAAACCCACAAACCATGAGGTCGTGACCTGAGCTGAAGTCAGATGCTTAACTTGCTGAGGTGCCCAGGTGTCCTCGGGAAAGCACTTTCTTAAGAGATGGGACTTTAGCTAGGACGGTATCACTTCTGCCATCTTTCATTAGTCACAGAATCACAGAGCAGCCCGGTTTCCAGGGGAGGGAAAACAGCCTCCATCTCTCGGTGGGAGGGGCAGTGTGTGATGGAGGAATGGGAAGAATTCTTGGGAACGACCTTTGGAGGCGGTCTCCCCTAAGCTGACAGGTGGGAATGGAAAAGTGGCTTCTGGCTTCATCTGATCAGCCTAGAGGGCAAAGAATATGTGCTACAAGCTTCTCTCTTTAGTCTCAGGAGGTGGCATTTTGTTCTGTCCTTGATGCTAATTTTTCCAAGAAAAGCATCTTTTAGAAAAATCCTTACTCTTCTTAAGTCTTGATTCAAGTGTCCTTACACTTACTCTAATTTCAGGATTCCACAGAGACACCACAGATGGAGAATTATCCAGATTCTTTCCTCAGTAAGGATGGTAAGTTCCTAGGGTGGAGGACACTTAGTAAGTCACGTAGGCCAGGGAGGGCTGAACTTCTGTTGACAAGGATGGTTCATCTCCCTGGAAGCCATAGTCCTCATCCCTCAGAAGGGTCCTAAAGGTGCCCAGCCCTTCCTTTTCTGGCCTCCATTTGGCACGGTTGGGAGAGGGCTGCAGGTGCAGTTAATGGCTGGGTCTTCTTTCAGATCCTGAATTATCCAAGACCAAACCTTCGAACAAGGACATTAGCACTCAGGAGGTCATTGTGCTGGAATCCCGAGAGAGGAGCCTGGGGGACCTTTCAGACGGTACATCGAGAATAAGGTGGAACCCTGAGCTCAAACTACTGAGGATCCTCCAGGCCACTGACGATGAGGATGAGGGGAACCAGCTCTCCACGTCAGAGGGTGAAGGGTCTTTCAAGACTTCGCAGGGCAGCCTTACTCCCGAGCTGGGTCCTTAGAATCCTGAGGACAGCGACTTTGGACATCAGGGCAGAAAGCAGAGGGGACTTCTGCTGCCTGAAGGCTTTCCCAGGGCCTGACCGTGGATGTTCTGCTTTCTTTGTTCACTTCTCCTTGCCTCTAAAATAAGTGAAGGAGAAAAAAGACTCTTCCTTTTTAAATGTAGATTGTTTCTATTTCATTAGGGACAGAATAATTTTAATGATTAAACACAACTGCTGTTTAAGCAAAAGCCTCTCTGTTTCTGGGAGGAGGGGAGACATGTTTCTGCACATCTGTTTTCCGGGTCACTTTTACCTTGCCTCTGAAGCTCTGGAGGGTTCCCAATTAAAGGAAGATGAATTTTGGGACTCCTGGCTAGCTCATGTGGTAGAGCGTGTGACTCGATCTCGGGATCATGAGTTCAAGCCTCACGTTGGGCATAGAGATTACTTTAAAAAAAAAAAAAAGAAAAGAAAAGGGAAGATGAGTTTGGCCCGCGAGAAACCCTACTGTGTTCGCAGCTTTTCCTCTCATTTTCTGGAAATGGTTTCTTTTGGGGATGGCACCCGATAATCATTTTCATGTTAATCTGAAAGAGTCTAAAGGTCTGGTTTCTAAATTACTGAATCTGCAGGAATGTTCCAGTGATGCTTGTAAAGACTCAGAGTTTCAGAGTCTCAGGGGACCTTGAATTTGGTCTCTGTAAGGATTTTTTTTTTTATGTTTTCATCCTTAAAGTTTTTAATACAGGAAAATTTCAAGATTACCTAAAAGTCAAGAGATTGATAGAATGGAACTCTCATGTACCCGGTGTATTAGATATGGGCAGTGAAGGCCTTTATCCTGGCCCATGAGCTGGGGCCAAGGTGGCTGGAGACCAGCTCTGCACCCAAGGGCAAGGCTCCTTCCCGTAAGTGGGAGCAGGGTGGAAGAAGAGAGCCCCCGTTATTGTGGGTACTCGCTAGCCCTTAGCTTCAGCCACCAGGAGCTGGGGGCAGCATGAGAAGCAGTGGCATCCTCTCCCTCCTGGGGAGAGAGGCCTGTGTCCCTGGGCTGTGACAGTATGGAGTGGTTTCGCCTCACTGAGGTTGGGGGGTCGGGGGGAGGTCGGGCAGAGCTCTAGGGTCACATAGCACAGACTCCTTTCTTACCGAGCTTTTGTGAATTTTCTTAAACAAATGTTTCTTCGTGGGCTGTATGCTGTTAAGGCCATTTTCAGAGACATCAACATTAAAAAAAAATTATTTCCACCAGTTTCACAGGACAGCAGTCTGCGGAGCATTTCACACTGTCACGCCCGAAGGGGGAGTTCAGGACTGGGTCTGACATCTTTCTGTAAGAGAAACTCCTCCCTCGTCAATTATTTGGTTCCCCTGAGTACAGTTTGTACAAAGAAAGGCAGATTAAACGTTCAGCTCTTTTTTTTAACATTGTCTCCAAACAGACCAAATTAGACAGCTAAAACTCTGCCTACCCATTCCTCTCTTCTAAGCCAAATCAAAACACTATGACGTCATTCGTGTTACTAGACTGAACTATACTTAGCTGAATCTTCAGGGTGAGGGGAATCCAAGAGGTGTTATGTGGGCTGCTTTTCCTGAAGATAATTATTTCCCAAACATCCATTACATTGCAGAATGACCTCTGTGGCTTAACTTAAAAATGTGCACCTTTTTTCAATTCCTTAGCCTCCCCTCAGACCTGTCCACGCTGACTTCGTGGTCAGTAGTGCAGTTGAGGATGGGCCAGGGCTTTGCTTTCATTTGCTCGTTTTATCTGAAGACTCCGAGAAGAGAAATTCTGTCTACTTTATTACCAATTCAACTACTTAGTAAAGCAGCTCCCAGAAATTGGCACATTCTTTTAAGATTTGTTGATGGGTACAGCATTTCCTTTCGAATCATGACATATTTCGAGTGAGAAAATGTTTGCTGTCTGAACACTGGCTTTTGCTTCTGTTTTCAAAGGGAGGAAAACCATTTGCAGGCTGAAACTTGTTTCTCCTTTGTTCCTCCCAGTCCCTGGTATCACACACGGAATTTAGGGCAATGTCATCTGCATGCTACATTACTGTTTTCAAGGCGGTGTATACCCACTGTTTTGGCTGGTTCTCTGGCCACCTCTATAGATAGATGTAGACTGTGTCCATTTTATAGACTAGAAAACAGGCTCAGACTCCAGGGCTGATGATAACCCATTCGGGGCCTTAGGGAATTAGGGGAAAAAAAAAAAAAGCGCCCTTTACGACACTTTACTACCATCTGTTGAAAAACGATCTCAACAAGTATACAAATCTACAATGATTACGGTATGATATGATCAGCACATCTAGACTTGGTCCACAGCCCTCCTCACAGTACCTGGGGGCCTTGCTGGAGAGGGTAAGACATCTGCCGGAAATTGAAGGCCACCGAGTGAAGGGGGCTGGGCTTAGAACCTGGGTCCTCGCTCCTTTCATCCGCTGGACTCTGATGCCTCTCTGATTCCCTCTCTAATACACAGTGGAGTCTGGGGCTTTTATCACAAGCCGTCTTTAATCAGAAAGGAAGAATGAGACCATGTGGAAAAGAATTGACGGAGGGGAAGGAGCCCTCATCAACGCTTTGCATCAGCCTCCCAATGTTCTGAGGGAAGAGAATCCAGGTAACTGTTGCTAACTGCCATTTCTCCACCATCTGGGCCAGAGGAATCAGGAGAATTAAGAGTCAACAGCCAGGAAGCTCTAACTAGAGTTGCTTTGCGCACTTAAGCAGACAAAAGGTCTTATATTCCAGTTATAAGACCAGATAAAAGGTCTTATAACTAGCTAGTTGGAATATTGTCCTGGGAGCCTTATATTTCTAAGAAAGTAGTCTCTGCCTTCTTTTCTTCTTTTTCATATTCTTTGTGATCCCTGCTAGCAGTAGGCCACTGTGTTTGGGTCACTATGTTTTGTTTGTTTTTTAAATTTTTTAAAAAATGTTTTTATTTCTTAGAGAGAGAGAGAGAGACAGCATGAGCAGGGGAGGGTCAGAGAGAGAGGGAGATACAGAATCTGAAGCAGGCTCTAGGCTCTGAGCTAGCTGTCAGCACAGAGCCTGACGCGGGGCTCGAACCCATGAACTGTGAGATCATGACCTGAGCCAAAGTCGGATGTTTAACCGACTGAGCCACCCAGTGACTGAGTGTGGTCTGCCCACACTCCCCCCACCCCCACCCATACAGGGCCAGCTATTCTTTGGTTTGGAATGCGTCCTGGTATGTGCGATAACAGAGTCTATTCTTCACCGTTTTTGGGTTACAGTAAGCTCCCTTTGATGGGAGGGGGTCAGGGTTTCATCCATGGTAGCAGTGACCCTTTAAAAAAGTCAGCTTATTCAAATACACCTAAAGGAACTGTTCTCCAAGTTAAAGACAGAAATACCGCCAGCTGTTAGATAAGCGTGAATAGAGGGCTTTTGGAAGCCAGAGGAATCTGGGAAAGACTTTCTAAACTGTCTCTTTCTGTTGCCATAAGGTACCAGGGTATGAAATTATTTTGCCCTTCTGTTTATACATTTATTTAACAATTATTAAATACCTACTATATGTTAGATAATCAACCACAGATTATCTTTCTTCTTTTTTAAAAAAATGTATGTTTATTTTTGGGGCGCCTGGCTGACTCAGCGAGTTGAGCATCTGTTTTCAGCTCAGGTCATCATCTCACGGTTTGTGAGTTTGAACCCCACATCGGGCTCTCTGCTGTGTGCGCAGAGCTGCTTCAGATCCTCTGTCCCCCTTTCTCTCTGCCCCTCCCCTATTTGTGCGCTTGCTCTCTCTCAAAAAAAAAATTTTTTTTTTGAGAGCGCGTGTGAGCACAAGTAGGAGAGGGACAGGGAGAGGGAGACAGGATTCAAAGCAGACTCTGTGCTGATGGAGAGAGCCCGTGGGGCTCGAACTCATGAACCACAAGATCGTGACCTGAACTGAACTTGAACGCTCAACCTTCTAAGCCACCCATGTGCCCTGACTGCAGATTATCTTGATAGAGAAACAAAACGTTCTAGGGAGATGAAGTTACTCCCAGGCGTGTTGCTAGAAATTTTCCTGGATTACTTGGCAAACTTGTTTGGAACCACTAGGTGGTGATATTACATTATGGAGCCGATATTCTTCTAAGACTGGAGGTGCCTGGTTCTTTCTGAGGTCAGGGTCTACACGGTCAAAGACATTTCCTTGTGAGTGAATGGAGAAAAACCCACATTTCACCAATGAAATATATGATCCAGTTAAATGCCCTCACGAATGAATTAGTCTTTGAACAATTTAGGATGTCACTGGTAGAACTATTTCAAGAGTGTGACAAATTCTGGAACATGCCTAGAGGCCCAGGATTTGGGGGCAATAAGGGAGCTATTGATGATCCTCAGTTCTCAGAGTTGGGCAGACTCAGGGAGGTGGCATCTGATAAATAGAAATACCACAAATTATCTGAGGCTCTCCTAAATTTATCTTGACCAGGTTTTGCCTTCAGGGAAGGTGAGACCAATAAATTCAGTTTTGTTTGTTTGTTTATGAGTCTCTATTACTTCTAAGGATGGCCCTGTTTTGGAAGGAATCTCCAAAAATAATTAAAACTCCCCCGTGGCCTCAGGATCAAACCCAACCCCTTTTGCTTGTCTTACAAGCCTTCCAAGGTAGGCTTATGGCCTGGCTGCGCCCTGCTTGTCTCTCCGGGCCCAATTCCCCCCACTCCTTGCCGATGCTCTAACTATAAGTTTTTCCTTTTGGTTCTAATGAGTCTCATCTTCTTTTGTCTTCAGGCTTAAAAAAAATTTTTTTCTCTGTACTTTTTCTTTAACCTGGACAACTCTTTTCTTCCCTCCTCTGCCTAGTTTCTACTCATCCTTTACATCTTAGCTTGCATGTTATTATTTTGGGAAGCTTTTTCTGACCACTGTCAGGATGATGTCCTCCTCTTCCACTTTCCCTCTCCCGGCCTCTGGAGTTCATGGCTTGTCTGTTGCCACCGTCCACAGGCAGACTATGAGTTCTGTGAGTGGCATCTGTCTTCACTGCATATCGTCAGTGCCTAAGTTGAGGGCCTGGCACATCATAACTGCTCAGTAATATATGCTGAGTGGGTGAATGAATAAAAAACAGACATGATACATCTCCTTTCGCTGGGGTACATATAATGTAGCAGTGTGAGCTGAGTGGTACAGAATGTGAAGAAAGAGCG